GAACACAGCATGAGAGGGTGGGGTAAGGTACGTATTCCAATGGCGGATGTAGAGGCTGTCATAGATGCGAGCTGAGCTTAGGGACTTCTCGGCTAGCTTCTCATTGTAGGCCGTGCCATTGCCGTACGCCTTGCCCCGAAGAATGAACCGTACATCACCCGAGTCCGTGACAGCTGTCTTGAGACCGAGGAAATTCGCTGGCAGTGAGGCTGCCTTGTATCTGCATGTCATCGTCAGTTATCATTCATCAACAACAGTGAACGGAGCATTATGGGTTTACCCGTTCTGGAAGTTTGCGACATCTGAGATCCACAGCTCGACACCACCGGGAATGTCTGCGTTGGTACTATTGATATAGAGAATAGTGGAGTCATCCGTGCCAAGCCAGATGATCTCAGAGACATTACTGTCATTAGTGAGAGTGTTGGTCTCACCCGATTTTAGGTCAATTAGGCTCCACCATGAGCTTCCGGAATGGGTGTCAAAGGAGTACTGGGAGACGGAGAAGAGACCGAGAGCCTGATGTTGTCAGTCCTCTACAGATCTATGATCAGATCAAGCGACATACTCCAGATGGATTGGGGATGACTTCGTCTCTCCGCGGAGCACTAATCAATTGCCTGCAGCATATGAGACATCAGCAACAATACGATTGTGATTGCGCCATGGGTACGTACTCGGGGGTCAGTGCTGAAGCCGCTGAAGCCGCAGCAAGAATGGAGAGCCATCGTAGAGCTCCCATGATAACGTTGTAGAACAATCGCACACAGGTCGCAATCCAGGTTCCGGGGAGAAAGCTCACGTTGCACAGAACACAAAGTAGAAGTCAGACAAAGGGGCCTATTTATGAGGTCGAAGACCAGGCCGAGAAGACGAAGAGCGAGTGAGTGATTTGGAGAGGGCGATGATGAAAATGATGAAATGAGGGAGTCAGTTAGGGACCTGCCTGATCAGGATAAGCAGCAACAAAAAAAGTGGACAAGCAAGGGCGGGTTGCAAGTCTTGGGTTGCAATGCCAAGTTGATACACATTCCCGACTGCTGCTTGGCACCCTGAAGTGTCTTGCATTGCTGTCATTCACATGGCCTGATTGCTTGCTTGCTAATATTGTGGGTTTATGAGGAGATACCCAGTACGATGCGATGCGATGCGAGGCGAGGCGAGTGTAACCGATACGTCAGACATCTCATAGTCATTCATTATCTATGTTGATTAATCAACGGGCAGGAGCTTCAACCACAGCACCTGGGCTTCCAGTATGTATGTACGTAATAGATAGGACAGCCAGAACAGCCAGAACAGTCAGAACTCTCGGCTTAGTACTCAAAGTCATCGTCTACTCCCTTCTTAGCATTTTCCTTTTGCACCGCCTCTTGCTTGCGGTACATCTCCGCCACTGCCCGAGTCGTCGTCGCCTCATCGGGCTTCTTGTCATCACGGCCTTTAATGAATCGTGGGAATCGAAGAGAGATTCCTTTGCCTCCGCCAGTCGTCCCCTCAAACTCGTCGGCCGCAGCCTTATAGCGCGGACTCAGTGTTAGATCAGCAGTCTTGACCTCCCAGACAAAGCGCGGCTCGAACCACACATCCGGCTGATCTTTGGGGACATTTGAGTGGGAGTAAAACGGCTTCGGCCGGTCAATGACGATAGGAGAAAGTTGTTTATGAAGCTCCTCCAAGTCAGCCTCCGAGAAACCTGTGCCAATGTTGCAGACCGTCTCGTAGGTCTGTGTGCTCGTGTTGTAAGCAGCCAGAAGGAAGGCACCGTACACTGATGTACGCTTGCCTCGTCCGTGATATGCACCCAAAACAACGAGATCTAGGGAGTCGCCGACTCCGGCGAGGTAATCCTTTTTCACCTAGTGGCGTAGTTAGTGACAGACACAAATCAGGCTCGGTTCTATTCGACGTACCTTGAGCCAGTTGCGGCTCCGCTTGCTTGGTTCATAACCACTCTCTTCAGTGTCCAGCATCTTCACCATCAACCCTTCACACGAGGCCTTTACACTTTCATCAAGTAGAGTCTGGATCTCATCCACGACGTTGGTATTCCCATACTGCGCAAACTGGAACTCGCCTTCAACAGTCTCGAATGACTCGTGAAGAAGCTCGCGACGCTCTCGCAGGCTCTTTTTCACCGTAGGCTATTGCTTCGCGTCAGTGTCTCGGGCTTGAACGATCAAAGGACAGACGTCATACCTCTCCATTCAAGAAAAGCAGGTCAAAGGCGAACACGCAGACTTTGACTTTAACATCCTCCGCTTTGACATCCTTCCTCTTGCGAGTCATAAGTTGCTGGAATGGCAAAACCTTCTTGTTCACTGTATCCCAGGCCACGGTCTCACAATCGAGGACAAAGCTAGTAACACCGCCCTTCACCCATGTGTTGAGTTTCGCAAGCACATCGGGATACTTCTTGGACAGATCTTCCGAGTTGCGAGAGAAGATGGAGCTAAGACCCTGGCTACCACTCTGCAATGTCGCCTTTGCTCCGGGGTACTGGTGGACTGAATCGGGTGCAACATAGTGGATCTGAGCTCTCTCGCCATCATACTTATACTCACAGGTGAAGTCTTTTCCTTCGAATCGATCAAGAACCTCCGTAATGGACTTGGTTGGCTTGGCAAGCATGGGCTTGATGGGGATGCCCGGCTGCAGCTTGCAGTGCTCGTGCAGATTCGAGAGACCATGCTCGAGCATCAACGGAATAATAATCTCGTAAGCGGGCAGCTCGCTGTACACAGTCTTCAAGATAGCCTCACCCTGGGCCAACTTTTCGGTAGAGGGTGCCTTCTCTCCTCTGAGCTCAGCCTCGTGCGTGACCACGGCTTGAGCGAGGGCAACAAGGACCGTCTTCTCCGCTAAACCAAGTCTAAGCTTTCCTTCTAGGAAACGGATGATATACTTGGCTTCACTCGGTCCGCCCTTGTCCTTGGTAATATCGATGCCCTTGCTGCCTTTGCCCGCAGCGGCGGTATCGGCCGCAGAAAGAAGCTTCTTGATGCCGGAGATCTTCTTTTCTTGAGAACCGTGTCCCTGCACCTTCGCAATGGTAAGAAGACCTTCATGCACGCCTTTGACTGTCAAGGGCTTCGGCTTGAACATGGTCGGCTGATTGGAGCGACTCTTGGCGGCGACTAGTCCGAGGTCGCCGATCTCATGCTGATCAGCCTTGATGACGGCCAAGCTCCGTCCTGTGCTCTCACCAATCGCCTTCATGATTAGAGATTCGCCAATTCCAAGCTCAATGCCTGCATAGTCCGCAGCCAGTTTGTTGATCATAAGCTGGACAGTGGGAAGAAGGTCCTGCGGGGTCAAACGCAGTACCTGCCGAAGAAACAGAGAGCAGTGAGCGAGGATGACCAATCTTTTGGTAGTCATTTCTATCAACGAGAAAGTCGTACACAGTGCTGCATATGGCACCGGGTCGCCAGCTTTCCAGTCCGGATAAGGCTCACTTCCGCTTGCTTTGAGCGTGGCTTGTACCTTCTCGATTTTCTTCTTTTTCACCTCCGGCTTTTCGTCTTCCTCATCCTCACTAAGCGATTGTGCTTCCTCCTCCTCTGATACTTCTTCCTCCTTCTCGGGTGTCTTTTCCCCCGAAGCTTTCTCGATCTTCAGAGATTCGGAGGGTTGGTTGGATTTGGTTTGCTTCTTCGGAATCTTCGGCGACGGTGATTTTTTCTTTGGAGAGACTTTAGGCGAGGCAGTCGATCCATTCGCTTGCGAGTTTCTCCGACGGCGCTTGGGTGCAGGCTGAACATCGCTGTCTTCGTCCTCGCTGCTGTTCTCTCTCTTCGACGTGGTGGTATCCTCCTTGTCGTTTGTTTTCACTGTTTCTGGCTCGGCGCTAGAAGACTTGGCTTCGTCCATGGGTTCGTCCTTGACCTTGGCGCCGTTGACAGCAGCAGCTGACTCTGGTGCTTTATCGACCGCCTCCTGGGTCTTGCTCTTTTTGCCCGAAAACGCGAGCGTGGTCTGCTTCTTAGGCGCATCTCGTGGGGCGTCGGAATTTGATCCGAAGAACCTCCTAAAGATTGTCATCATGTATTAGTTGAGAAACTCTCGGGACCAAGGATCGAGAATACCTAGGCGCCAGTCATAAAAGACGCACCCGAGAGTTAGCTGGGAATCCTTGACGTACCCCAGAGTTGCTTGTTTCCGACCCTTAGAATCCGCCATTGCGAGAAATAGTGAGGGACGGAGAGGATGATCTGATCGCAGGCAGAGACTGGATACGGGCGGCCTTGTCCAGGCAAGCGAGGAATGGGGGCGCGCAAAGTGTAGGGTCGAATGCAGAGTCCTCGGGGCTGTGGTGCCAAAGGCGGGATTCCTGGGAAGGAATGGAAAAGACGGCGTAACACACGCGGAACGGTATGAAGAGAGCATAGACGTTCGCTGCTACCGCCTTTCACCTGATAATAAACTTTGCCAGCTTGTCAGTTTATATGCATTGAGGGTCTGCAGTTTCCATGGGCCAGGCACACTAGGTAGACATTGCTGCCTTCCAAATTGCTTTAAGCTTCAACGGGAGCCTTGAAGTTAACGCGACGTGACGTGACGCGAGATTAATTAGTGTCACGTGATGGGACTTACAACTAGGGTAAGTCGTGTTGTTGCTTTCGATTCTTGATGGGACGATGAAATCACATCCGGGGTAGCTTATTTTTCAGCATCAGTGCTTGATGAGAATGCCCACTCTTGAGTCGAGTCTGGCTACAGCTCAATACAAGACCTGAGTTGAGCCAGAGTGACGCATTTACAGATCAAACAATGCAAACCTCTCCACCTTTACCGCCCCGGGAGTCGGGCAGAAAGTGATCGCGAAGGCGGAGAGGATGGATTATCGATACTGCTTCCTTTTGATCGCTGCAATGCACAACCTGATATTTCGCTGTAGCTAACTTGGAGACTACTTGGTAACTTGACTGAATCATTCAATGGCTGCACTATCTCAGACTTCATGATTGCTTTTGTTACACCTAAATCAGTCTGGTTCGATGGAGATCTCCCGGCAGGAAGCTTTCACCAAGGTATGACTCCAGTTCAGTATCATGTCGAACCAGACTAATGCATAACAAAGCTCAAACCACAATGTGTGGAACTGAGTGCTGTCGGCTTGCGCTTCCGTGGGAGTCAAGCGTCTTCTAATGAGGTCTTCAAGGCTTTGAAATCCGTGTACGCCGTCCTGAACGAACTCGGCAATAAAGATGCCCTGGACGAAAAGCTCGCGGAGTATGCATTCTTCCCTCTTTGTCACGTCTTCAACGAGACGCAAAGAACACCAGTCAACTCTCTGGAGCTTGCTGTCAAATGTCTGCAAATCCTAATCGAGAAAGGGTGGCGAAGACGCCTATCTCCTCAAATGGGCAAACAGCTCATGATACTTCTGACCTTGATCGTGGGAGGTACGCCGAGCAAAGCCAACGGTAGCCAGCCCGCACAGGCTCGGCCAGCAGAACTGTCGATTACCGGCTTCAACTGCCTTTCAGCTATCTTTAATGTCCTTGAAGGTCCCGAGGCCACCGCCACCATCTACCACGAAGTTGGTACCGCCACTGTGGTCGATCAAACGGTCTATGTCCTGCTAGAAGGAATTAGCGACGACCAATCCGATCAGCTGTGCATTTCGGCGGCCAAATCGCTCATAGCTCTCTATCATCACATTACTGATAGAGTAGTACTGGCTAGTATCATGCCCCGGACAGTCTCAACCCTGACGAAAGTGATAAGACCCACGACGCAGACGCGGCGCTCTTACAAGCTTCTGAGTCTTTGCCTTCAGATCCTCACCTACATGCTAAGAACAGTTCTCAACGATCGAGCTTCAAAGGTGACCGAAAAACAAGATAAATCACAGAAGCCGGACGATCCGCTTGTGCTTGATGCCTCCTGGTTGAAAGCTACAGCCACGCAGATCAAGCTTGCGCTTGCCAATATTATACAGGTCAGACGGCACGAACGGCCCGAGGTACAAACAGCCCTTCGTGAACTATGCTTGATGGTGGTAGAAGATTGTCAAGTCACGCTGCAAGAGTCGCTACCGATCACTGTCGAGACCTTAATCGTGTTGTCCGACAAAGACGATAAGAATATACCGAATGAAGCATTCACAGCTCTTACCCACCACGCTACAACTTACCCAGTCGTGGTAGATAACCTCAAGGATTCTCTGCACACCTGGATCACTTCGTTCCCACGGACTATGCAAGGCAATGACGAAACAGCGAAACAATGGGCAGTTAGACAGATATCGACTGCCTTTCAGGTGTTGTCACACGTACAGTCGAGTTCCGATATCCTGGAAAGCAGCCTGGCGTCAGGTATATGTGATAGCGTTGCTGCAGCCGTGAGCCACACAGTGAATGCACTGCAGCCTCTCAGCACCTCTGCCATACAATCTCAGAACATGGAAGTCTTGCAACATGGACGCAGCGCCGTCAGTTTCGAACCCGTGCTTATGGAACATAAAAGTCAGCGCGACACACTGCGCGATCTTCGAACCATGGTCGTCAGACTGAGTTCCTCGGAATCCGGCAACAGAATCACACGTCTCATCATCAACCGACTTTACCAAGAGCACGGCAACGCCCTCATTTCACCGCTGTGGCTTTCATTGAACTTTCTCACGAGTAACCTGCAGGCTACATCAGCCTTCGATGACTTTATATCGCTCGACGAACTTGAACCCTCAGGCCAACCCGCAACCAGGACTGGAATGATCGAGGAACTGTACTACATCGCACTGCCAGTCTTGAACGAGCCACTGGCCAATGACTCCCGCGACTGGCGGGTACAGGCTCTTGCGTTAGAGGCCGTCGCTCTGCAGGCACAACAACTCGGCGAAGCCTTCCGGCCGGAATTGATGGATGCGTTGTACCCAGTCCTCCAATTACTGGCTTCGAGCAACTCAAGCCTTCAGAGACATGCGATGACGTGCTTGAACCTGCTCACGAACGCATGCAACTACCAAGACGCCAGCACTATGGTAATAGAGAACGTTGACTACCTGGTGAACTCAGTGGCGTTGAAGCTGAATACCTTCGATGTATCTCCCTATCCGCCGCAGGTGCTGCTGATGATGGTGAAGCTCTGCGGTGCACGGCTGATCCCCTACCTGGACGATTTGGTGGATTCCATCTTCGGTATCCTAGACATGTACCACGGCTACCCCAAGCTCGTCGAGCTGATGTTCCGAACACTAGCGGCCATTGTCGACGAAGGAACCAGAACGCCCGCCGTGCTGGCAATCAGTGACGGCAAAGGCAGCACCACCAAGCCCGACCACCGCAAGAAGAGATACGAAAGCCTGCAGATCTCCACCCTCGCGCAAGACTTTGCCCAACGACGAGCCAAACGCGCCAAACTCACACACGAGCTCCCGGACGAGCCCATCTCGCACCCTCGCAAGCCGTGGAAGAGCTCACCCCAAGACGAACAACAACCACCCCCCACCGAATTCGACAACACCCTCGCCGAGCTTCTCGACAAAGACGAATCCGACGAGCCCCTCCCAGCCCCCAAGGAACCAGAGGACGGCGAAAAGCCGCTGAGCAAACCGCACACCCTGCTCCTGCACATCGTCCGCTCGATCCCTTCCTACCTCACCTCCCCGTCCCCGTACCTCCGACGCTCCCTCCTCACCATCCTCACCGACGTCTTCCCAACCCTCTCCCCCAACGAAAACAGTTTTCTGCCGCTAATCAACGACCTCTGGCCCACCCTCGCCGCGAGGATCAGCTTCCCATCCTCCCCATTCAGCAGCACCAGCACCAGCACCAGCACCAGCACCAACCCCCAATCCGCACCCACACCCCTAACCCTCACCACCACCACCGCAACCCCAAATAACCCAGAATCCCTCGAGGAAGAAACCTACGTCACCACAACCGCCTGCCACGCCATCCGCACCCTCTGCCACGCAGCCGGGGACTTCCTGGCCTCGCGCGTGGAATCCGAATTCCCCCGCTGGGAGCGCCTGTACCGCCAAACGTGGACGAAAGTCCGGCACGACGCCGAGAAGGCCCTCGAGCGGCGGTCACGGCAGCATCCACCCCTCCATCCCGACAAAAGGCTTCTCGACATCACTCCCTCAGAGAATCACCCGCATTCAGCCACAGCCACAGCCACATCCACCCCAAAATTCCACCTCAATCTCACGCAATCCCTCTCCCTCCACGCGACCAGCGCCCGCGCCTTCACGCCCCACCACGCCATCTGGCGCGGTTTGCTCCCGCTCTTCATTACCCTGCTCACGCACGTGCGGCTTCCGCTGAGGGTCGGGGATACGATCGCCCGGTTTGTGGTGGAGTGGGTGGTTTTGTTTGCGGGTGGTGGGGCGGAGGTGTATGAGCGGTGGTCGGCGAGGAAGAAATTGAGTGATGACGGTGGTCGTGCGGATCAAAGTGATGAACGATCTGCTGATCTAGGGTCGATTGAAGAGGCGCTGGAGGCGCTGGAGACGTGGAATGCGGATTTGACCTGGTTTCTCTTTCAGGAGCACCGGGCTCGCGGAGTTGGGTCGAACATCCAACAAAAGACGAGGAGTGGTCCTTTGATTTGTGAGGTGGTGGAGGAGCCTTTGAAGGTGTGGACCGTCCCGGGGACGGGGTTGAGGTTCGCAGGGTTGACTTTTTGAACATGAACAATAGTCGGGAAGTTGATCAACACGAAGTGGTACAAATATTGCCTAAGCTGGATCTACTATTCTTAGGGTGGATATCAATGTATAGAGCAGAGAAGTTTATTGGTAGCTAAATAATATGTTCTCGTCTTGTGTAAACCTCTCAGACAACTCAAGCAACAGCGGGTCAAACCCGAGTATACGCATCAAATGAGTGGAGTCGGTGAGAAAAACAATAAGCGAAGAGACAACAGGTGGAAAAATTCCCGAAAGCGATCGTCTAGAACTAGAAACCAGCAAGCTGGCGGCAGTCTACTCATCGTCTTCCTCGCTCTCCTCCTCGCTCTCGGCGTTTTCAAGCCACTCGAGGAAGGGCTCAGCGGCCTTGCGGACCTTCTTGCTGGTCGAGATGTCGACGTACTTCTTGCTAGCCTTGGAACCCCAAGCCTTGAGGGTGTCCTCAGAGATGAGGTCGTGCTCGTAGTACTTGAGCAGAATGGCAGGAATCTGCCCGATCAGCTCGGGGCGGTCCTTGCCGACGAAGCGCTCGGTTCCACCCAGGAAAGCCTTCTCGTGACGCTCGGAAGTGATCATCTTCTTGAGAAGACCGGCACGGGCGGGGATTTGCTTGACGATCTTGTCGTCGAAGATGGTTTGGGCGAGAACGGCCAGAGTCTTGTGCTTGCTCTCGATGCCATACTCCTTGGCCTTCATATAGATGTCGACATCGCTGACACCAGTGACGCCACCCTTCTGAGCAGCAGCGTCGATGATCCAGCTACCAAGCTCATCGTAGGCGGACGGGCCATCGGCACCGTCCTCGTCGGCATCCTCCAGAACGAGGGTGCGCTTGAGATCATCGGGAAGCTCCTTGGCACGAGCCTTGACGGCCTCCTCAGAGACGTCGACCGCCCAGTCATCGTCATCAATCTCATCCTCGGCCTCAATGTTCTGGGCCTGAGCCTTGATGCGGCGGGTGAGCTCGTCGTCGCTTCCTGCTTCCAGGGCGGCATCGGGGCTCTCCTCATCGCCGTTGTCGGAGTTGCTGTCTCCGGGGCTGCCATTGCTGTCACCGTTGGCTGCCTTGTTCTTCTCCTTCTTACGATCGCGGCGATCCTTCTTCGAAGCCTTGTCCTTCTTTCCTCCCTTGCCCGAGGCGACATCACGCAGGATGAAGGTGCTCAGCTTGAGACGAGAGTCGACCTCGGAACGTTGACCACAGGCCTTGCAGTCCAAGAAGATCTTCTCGTCCTTGATGTTGACATCCGTTTCCGGATTCTTGCACTTCTTGCAGAGCACGAACTTGGAGATGAAGCCATCGAGATAGTCCTGAAGCTTGGGGGCATCATGAGCACCGTTGATGATCCAACGGTCATCGGTCGGCTTAGCGTTGGCCTGAGCACCGAGCTCGAAGCCGAAGTACTTGATGACATAAGCGGGAGGCCGAGCCAGAGACTGAGCGACCGAGTTCAAGTTGACAACGACGGTCTTGATACCGTTGCCCTTGCCCTCGATCTTCGACTGCAGGCGCTCCATCTTGTAGCGGTAGAAGGGATCGGAGACATCCCGACGAATGTTGACAGTAGCCATGATGACGGTTGAGGTTGATAAAAATCTTCAGGAAGACTTATTGTTGTGGTTATATTAAGCGGGGAGGATTCTGGACCAGGGATATCTTGTAGGAACAAGACATGCGTAGTTTCCTAGTTGAGAAGGAATGGTGGCGGTTTTTTGTTTTGCGATCGTTTAGAACGAGAACGATGGAGGGCAGCCCAAAAGCTTTCAGCCACAGGACTTCGAATGTCTACTACAAGGTTTCGACGTGAAGCGAAACGATTGCAGCTTGAGCGGCAGGTGGTGATCGAAATCTCTGACGCAGGACGAATACATAGACAAGTTCTCGACCGACTCTATTTTCAGTGGCTTTCTCTGGCAGGAAAGAGAGAAACCAACGGGTGGTTCTTCTGTGGGGGGGAGGGAAAATCGACACGGTCAGATTCGCAATCCTGGTGGAGGAATGACAGAAAGGATGGTGACAGTGAGACTAACCAGAGTGGCTTGTGCGTGAACAAAACTTGAGGTGCAAACCAGCAGGCAGAAAGGTCGCCTGAAGGGTGATTTAATGGGACAGCAGCGTATAACGCCGATGGAGTTGGAATAAAAAAAAGGGGGAGTGGTTGACAAAAACCGAGAAGTGATGTGATAGAGAGTGGGTGAGAAAGAGAAGAGAGAAAGAGAAGGGGAAGAGAAGGAGATGCGAGCGAGGGTAGAAAAGGTAGAAAAGGTCCCCAAACAAAAAAAGTCCGACCCGGTTTGGTGCCAAGCACTGATTGGGAAGGAATGGAAGAGGCAGGCACTTCGACTCCCAGCGGCCTGAACAATATGGCCACCAAGTGAAAATTTGAGATGAAAAATGGAGACGCTGAGTCAGCTGCCTCCCTCCCCCCCCCCCCCCCCGAATTGAGTGAGGATGCCGGCCTTCCGGTTACACGTGCTCCCATTCACTCAATCCAGTCGCTAAACTATTGTTTGCTCTCTTATAATTCTTCTACTTCTGCTCCGAGGTAAATCTTGCTTGCAACAATATCTGGGAGGCTATAGCTCGTGGTTGTGTCCGACCTTATCCCCGAGATCATCGTGTCGCTGCCTGCTCCCATGAACCCTGCTCAAGCATGCTATGGATGCCATGCATTTGTCTGGAGATGCTAAGCACTTACGACATTATGTCCTGCCTGCTAGGCTACCATCACCCCGTAGTTACACAACCAGACTGGCCTGCTTATCCTCGACAAGATATCCCGGCCAATCTTCCTAATGAAGTAGTTCTGATGCTTGAGGACTCACCGCCACCTTTCTTGTCACACACACAACTCAGGCACTGTGAAATATGAGGTGCATCACTGTAGGATGGCTTCGGATGCCTTGGACAAGCAAGGAACCTCAGAGAATAGGTCGGCTCAATGGTGCGTGGCACTCGCTCGGACCGGGTGGAATATATAGTTGAGGCATTCGTAGCAGTGTGCTATGCAGGAGGCCATTCTCTGGATATTTCCAGCATATCAAGCGTCGCATTCTTTGTGTCTTTTGTCTCAGACACCAATAAAATCATCAAAATGCATATCAAAACAATTGGTGCAACAGCTTGCAGCAGCAAATCGCCATCGACCACAAGGATGTCGTCGGTCGTGCGTATAGAATGACTAACTTTCGGGCGTCCCCACACACTGCCCGACATTGCGAAAAGCCTCTTCCAACCGCCCGAGTCCTTTCACCAAGGATCTTGAATTGTGTGTAAGTCTCTCAGTGGGTATGTTTTACTCTTGATTTTCTTTCCCCGCACGGGTGCGACTATTTGACGATTGCATTAACTTGCATTGTTGGTGGCTCGCTCCCGCGACCCACGTGTGCCCCTCGGTGCAATGTCACGAAAAACTAAATTAACCGCATCTTCTAGCCCCAGGACATTCTGATAGTCTACAGATATGGCTCTCGATCTATCTGTATACTTGGTCACCGACTCGACCCCTGCCATTCTCAAGGGTCGGGACCTCTGCACTGTTGTTGAAGAGGCCCTCAAAGGAGGTACGTGCTTTCTCTGTCTGCCAGAGACATCCCACTGACCACTTATCTCAGGCGTGACTATCGTGCAGTACCGCGAGAAGAAGGCCGACACGGGAGCTCAAATCGAGACAGCCAGGAAGCTGCACCAGATCACCAAGGCCTATGGAGTGCCATTGCTGATCAACGACCGTGTTGATGTTGCTCTGGCCGTGGGGGCGGAGGGTGTCCACCTTGGCCAAGATGACATGGGTATGCATCTCCCAACGCCGTCTCGCAATCTACCGCGCTAACTGCTTGCAGCGATTGAGGTAGCGAAGAAGCTTCTCCCAGAGAATGCCATCATCGGTATCAGCGCGGGGTCTGTTGAGGAGGCCCAGAAGGCGATTGCGGCGGGCGCCGACTATCTCGGCATTGGCACCATGTTCGCCACGCAAACGTAGGTGCCATCTGTTGACTCACCAGCACAAGACATCGATTGACCAGGTCAGGAAAACGAACACAAAGTTAATCCTCGGTACAGCCGGCACTCAAGCCATTCTGGAAGCCATCTCCGAGACGGGCCGGACGGTGGGAACCGTCTCCATCGGCGGAATCAAGCAGTCGAATGTGCAACGCGTCTTGTACCAGTCCCGTGCGCCGAACAAGGGGTTGGATGGCGTTGCCATCGTCAGTGGTATCATGGCTGCTGATGATCCCAAGGCTGCCGCGGCCGAGTTCGTCAAGCTCGTTGCCAGCCCCCCTGCATTCGTACACAGTGAGCCGTCGGCGTCGGCGCGGGACACCACCGCACTCCTCAAACAGGTTCCCCACGCGATTCAAGATATGGTAAAGACTCATCCGCTGGTACACAATATGATCAACTATGTCGTGGCCAACTTTGTTGCCAACGTCGCTCTTTCCATGTATGATACCCCCCCGCGGTGCTCACATACTTGACAGCAGGGCTGATAACGTGTAGGGGCGCTTCCCCAATCATGTCTCCATACGGCGACGAAGCCGTCGACCTCCGTCAATTCGGCGGTGCCCTGGTGATCAACATGGGCACTCTCACCAGCGAGAGCATCCCCAATTACCTCAAGGCTCTGCAAGCATACAACGAGCGCGGAAACCCGGTGGTATACGATCCAGTCGGCGCGGCTGCGACCGGCATTCGTCGGGGCGCAGTCAAGCAGCTCATGGCGGGGGGATACTTCGACCTCATCAAGGGCAACGAGGGTGAAATTCGACAGGTATTCGGGAGCAGTGGCGTGACACAGAGGGGTGTCGACAGCGGCCCCAGCAGCCTTGACGACCAAGGAAAGGCTCGGTTGGCTCTTGAGCTTGCTAAGCGAGAGCGTACGTTTGACTACACGCTTCCATCAATATAAATTCTCACAAATTATCTAGGGAACCTCGTCCTCCTGACCGGTGCGGTTGACTACCTGAGCGATGGCGAGCGCGTCATTGCCGTGGAAAACGGCCACGAACTTCTCGGCCAGGTCACGGGAGTAAGTGCACCGACCCCTTTTTTGATCTGCAAATGCTAATGAAGGAACAGACCGGCTGTGCTGTTGGTACGGTTGCTGGATGCTTTCTGGCCGCCAATCCGAAAGACAAGCTTCTTGCCGTGCTGGCGGGTCTTCTGATGTACGAGATCGCTGCGGAGAACGCGGCGGCGAGGGAGGATGTGCGGGGGCCGGGAAGCTTTGTTCCTGCTTTCCTGGATGAGCTGTATGCCATCCGGCAGGCCGCGTCGAAGGGGGACGACAGTTGGTTTAGTGAGCGGGCGAAGGTGCGGGAGATTGCTCTGTAGATAGAGTGGTACCCAGTTGTTATGATGTGTGTAGTTATAGTACAGTACGTTCCGGCAGTTTGATATGTCTGCCCGATAAACAAGGCAACCAATACCTCGGCCCTTCCCCGCACCGGACCCGTCCGTTTCCCCGCTCTGCACTCCAACTGCAACTGCACTGCAATCTCCTGCTGATCTTTCCTATAAATTCTCCCCAATACGTCCCTCCCTACCACTGACCACATTCTCAGCAACGTGTGTTTTAAGTCTGCAAAAATGGCCACTCTCACTCGAGCCACGCGCATCCGTATGTCCTATCCTCGCCCCTCCCATTTCCACTACCATCCAAACATCAAACTAACCCACTACCCTGAAATCACCAGGCAACCCCGCCCTCTTGTACGTCTCACCAACCCACCAACCCACCCCTCAAAGCCACGCACCACCACCCCTAAACCACACCAACTAACAACCAACAAAGCATCTGCGACATCCAAGAAAAATTCCGCCATGTAATCCACGAATTCCCCAAAGTGTACGTCTCTATCCCGATCCCGATCCCGATCCCGATCCCCAACCCCAATCCCCAATCCCCCCAGAACCACCAACTAACAATCCCAAGAATAACAACAACCACCAAACTCCTGCGCGCGACGCAACCGCTAAACGTGCCAATCTACATAACGACCCAAAACCGCGCCCGCCTCGGCGACACCGTCTCCGAACTGAGCCCGTACCTGCAGCCCCCACCCTCCTCCTCCTCCTCCACCTCCTCCCAAACCAGAGTCCTTGCCAACATCGACAAAACGCTCTTCTCGATGATCACGCCGGAGCTGGCCAGCCTGCTGCCCAACCCGCAGCAGGGCGAGACGCCCCTGGACGCGATCCTGGTGGGGATCGAGACGCACATCTGCGTGACGCAGACGACGCTGGACCTGCTGAGTCGGGGGCACCGGGTGTACGTGATCGTGGACGGGGTGAGCAGTGCGCACGCGGAGGAGCGCGGGGTGGCGCTGCAGCGGTTGCGGGACGCCGGGGCGACGGTGACGACGAGCGAGGGGGTGGTGTTTGAGATGCTGGGGGATGCGGGGCATGCGGCCTTTAAGGGGGTGAGTGGGGTGGTGAAGGAGATGAAGGAGGAGACGAGGGGGGCGTTGGAGGCTTTGGCGAGGATCTAAGGTTTTCAAATTGGGGGCCCGGGGGGTTACTTGTTGGGTTGAAGCTGAGACTGTGTTTGAGGTACTTCGTAGACAGATTATACTACCAAGTACTGCACTAGGTATATGAGGATGAGAGTATGCAAGGGTCAAGGCCTTTAACATTGCTTCGTTTATGGTCATTACTAGACACTGCAGACAGACACAAAAGTAATCGGAGGGGAAATTTACGCCGTGGACCCTGCGCCCTAATCTATTTCATTTAGAGCCAGTGCCGGTCGTCATGCTACGAGGCGCAGTGGACGGTTGAGACGCCGTATTGAGCCATCCAAACGCCGACGCCCCGCCAACCGGGTTGGATGCCCAGGGTTTAGCAGTGCGCACGCCACCGTCGGGCGAGGTGCGGGTCGAGGTCGGCTGCACAACATCGGCCGGCGAGCTGCTGCCCGGGCCGGTGGTCATCGTCACCGATCGAGATGGCGCCTTGCTAGGCCGTAGTACTTTCATAGTACGGCCCCGAGGAGGCTTGCCCGTCGCCGCGGAGGCATTCGGATCGCTTTTGGCATCGCGTTTCCACGAGCCCCAAACTCCGGACGCTTCCGCACGAGCCGGCCCACTCGACACGATCCCGGCAGGCTTCACCTGTCCTTGAACTGGCTCCGGATCGGCCAAGGTTTCCGGTGTCTCCGAGAAATGCGCCTTTCGACTATCCTCGGAGTCTTCCGTGAGATCTTGCGTTGAGTCGCTGGTAGATGCTGCTCGTCGAGATGTACTGACAGGGCGTCCGATGACACCCACAGGCGCATGGCCATTCATGTCCGCCGGGGCATCGACTGGGACGGGTTGTCGCTCCTTCCAGCCCGCGCGTGAAACATCCGAAGCCGTGCATAGTGACTTGAAGACAGCGTCGTCCTCGGGCCGGACAAGAGGGATGGATATCTTATTACGCTCGTCATCGACCATGATGATCTTATCTTGAGAGAACAGCACGTCGGCGTTGTGGGAGCGGAGCACATCACTGCCAAGGACAATCTGCACGGACGAGTCCCTGGGGTCGATCTCACGAACCAGGAACCGAACAGTCAAAGTAGGAACCTGGGGGGCAGGACTACTGGACCGCGAGGAGGATTGGTGCACGCTAGCTTCGGGAAGGTACATAGGGAGCTTGATGTACTGCACCTCGCCGTCCTGGACCAGCTGATCTTCCCAGCCGAATCTCCGGACCATCGGATACCCCAGTGAAGAGGTATAGGAGCCGGTGCAGACAGCCGCATACAATAGGGACTCGTTGGAAAAGTTGGTTGTCAACCAGCACCGGATGATGCACGGCACTGGCCCAAGAAGGAAAAAGCCGGGCGAGGGAATGAGTGGCGATCCTACAGCGGAAGAAGCCATCATTCTGCTGGTTGTCTCTAAGCCTAGACTATTCGTTCGAGCGGAATGGTGGGAGTGCCCCGAAGAGCTTTGTCGTCCGTCTGACCGATGTGATAGCGACCGCTCAGTCATAGGGTGGCTGCCTAGGCCACTTCCCGTCCTCAACGGCAGCTCGCTAGTAGATCGACTGGCTTGTCCATAGTAACCGTGGATGGCACTCTCGTCGAACCGAACGCTGTTGGCCCGTGAGGTCCCACGCCTAGGCTCCTCCTCGGTTTCCAGACCCATGGTATTGACCACCGTGTGATGATTTCCCTGATCGAAACCCCTGAACGCGTCGGAGGGAGTATGGAAGACCGACTCTGTAGACAGATGACATCTTAGCCAAACTCCGGAGATAAGGCACAAAGAATACACATACCCGCCGGGATTGTGCCCCCAACAGAGGTGGGAAATGGCGATAAAGGACCCCACACGCTTCTCAGCCTTGCATCCTCGTCTCTGCGCCGCTCGAGTCTTGCTATCCGCTCTGCCTGTTCGAACTGGGCGGCGTGAAGCTCCTTAATCTCTTCGAAGACGCGCCAGATGTCGTCGCGTGAGGCAAAAGGGAACTGTGCATCCATGTCCAAGTGTGCAAAGTGTGCAAAGCGGAGTGATGGGCGGCAGACCCAAGAACCTCTAACAGAATGTTGACGGCACGATTTCCCCAGAACTATCACACATACAACACAGTCTTCGTATGAAGTGCCGTTATCGCCCAGTCCTCAGTGATCTGGTCAGGCCCGCTTGCTGATTCCGACGGTCCGCTGTTCCTCCGAAACTCCTCCTCCCTCGTACACTGTGAGACGGCCCTACGGCCGTCCACCCGGTCTGCTAAATGCGAATATCCGTGAAGTGATCTAGAGGCATATACAAACACTTGATGGCCGATATACGAAGGAAGTGGCTGATAAAGCGTGCCGGACGATGGACGATAAGAGTAGAGAGGAAAAGGCGGGAGGATATGCGGGTAGAACGGATGAGACGTCGGAGCAGAGGTTGAGCGATGCAGCGTAGAGGACGACCACTTCACCGGTTGAGGGTCTGAAGATCGAGCAAGGAGTGGTTATGAGCACGAATCTCTATCGGCAATTCCTAGAGCAGCAGTAGAGAACGCGAGATATTCCTGGCCTGAGGGGGTCTGATGAGAGGCGAGGATGGGCGGTGGGTTCTTTCTTTCCGACGGATCAAGGAAACGAAGGCGTGAGCGGGCCGATAGGAAACAGCTGAGAAAAAGGATCAATGCGAGATTTATGGCAAATAAGTGAGAGAGTTTGGTAAGCCGGAGTATAGTGAGAAGTGAGATAAAAAGCGAAGGAAGGCTGGGAAGAGTGAGGAGGTTGTGAAGTGCCGTTGGATTGGAAATCATGAGGGGATCCCAATTCGACAGCCTGGAAACCAACTTGGAACCTTGACCCGCCGGCGGCAACCGCCCTCGGCTGAATCTAGACCGCTTTCATCATCGCCATTTCTTTGACCTTCCTCCAATTTATTCTTGTTGCTACGGAGTACCGTGGTGCATCATTGACATCGTTCTTTCATCTAACAGATACATGTATTGAATTACAGTGGTCAAGTATTATGACCTCAACGTTCTTAGCAACGGCAACCCAGAGCAGATGGAGATCTCTTAGTTAAGCTACGTTCTGATCTATGTATGTATATACAATCCCGCACTCCACAACCGACACCAACCTTTCATCGCGGAGCCTGAGGCCAGGGAGGGAAAATCATCGGAATATTCTGCGGCAGCATATCCGGCCAGTTCGCCTCAATCGCCTTCATCAATGCATCGTACACGATGCGGTACCCTTCCCCGGTCAAATGTAGTCCATCGGTGAACAAGCGCGCGAACTTCTCGTCGTTCGGCAACTCCCTCGACCCCACCAAGGGCTGACCCTCTTTCCATCCCACCGCCGTCATGAATGCGGTCCAGACGTCCACGACCGGGATCCCCAGGGAAGCTGCGAGGTCGCGGGCGCCCTCAGCGTAGACTTTGGCGTTCTGGTTCGTGCGCGTCGGATGCGGGTTCCCCTTGCCCTTGTCGAAGAACTCCAGCTGGTATTCGTTGATTGGAGGCGGGGTAATGATGAGGATGCGCGGGTTCTGCGCGACCGTGGCGGGGTGTTGAATGATACGTTTGAGGTTTTCCTTGTACTGCTCCAAGGGGACGTACTGATTGAAAGCGGGGAGACAGGAATCATTGGCGCCGAACCAGAGGGTCTATAATCAGTGTTATCCAGGTGTTTTGTCTCGTGAAGGAGGATTCGATCGTGGCTTACCATGAGTCGCACATTGGCCCTCTCCGGGGGAGGGATGCATTGCGATACCACTTTGATGGCGTGGCAGGTGGCATAACCGCTACAGTCCGAGCAGTGAAGGGTCAGTTTGGTTACTGGATGTAGTGCGACACATGGGTTCTCACGCTAAGCCACGATTCACCACGTCGAAGCGGCGACTGTATGCTACAGACGAGTTAGTATAGTCTAAAGTCGAGGGTGTCCAGGGAGCTTCACTCACCATGCTGCAATGCGGCGTGAAACCCGAAGCCCATATCCTGGTTGCTACCAAACTCGGTGATAGAATCGCCGAACAGAAGGATCTGATCGTACGGCTTGTAGGGCTGCTCCTGCCCATTTGCTGGGACTCCGTTCGCCATGTTGTTGTAGTACAGAAGTACCTGCAGATGAATAAAGGGGATTGAAGATAGTTAGAACACACTCCAACGAGACGAAGCTTTTATTTCGAGCTGCTTAGTGGGGGAGGGGTTAGTAGCGCTTACGGCCAATCTAACTTGTCGATCGATAACGATAACCGATGCAGCTACTAAGCAATTTGACCAACCTGACTGACCCTTGACCGGTAGTTATACTTGCCTATTCTTGCTGTTGCACAGGTATAGACAACTGCGTTCCTGAAAGTGAGAAGACGAGTGTCCTATATATTGATCTCATAATCGTGACAGGCACCGAAGGTTCCGGCGAGGCCACTGCTGGGATTGGGGAATGAGGGACTCTTTCCCGAAGTTTCTCCACCAACGAGCGTCCGCAGAGGTACCCGAATCCTTGGAACATCTGCGACAAGAACACGTCTCATGCGTCCATCTCTAAGGACATCAAAGTATCAAATTTGATGGGAAACATTATTGAATATGCATAGCTGATGAGATTCAGAATGTGCGGATACTAAGACTTGTTGATTTATCTCTACGAAATCAATTATCTCTTCGTTCATTCGTCACAGGTACCCACACTACCACAAGGGCTATACACAAGGTAGTAAGCAAATCATGTATGAAGTACTTGACCACTTGCCTTCCACAGAAGCCACCTTGACTGCAAGCCTACCTTAGTCATTCACTTGAGCAATATATCAGGAGTATTAGAGAGCCCTCGGCAATCAGTCTACCTATATCTATCTTATCATTCTGAATAACCGGCGCAAGTCAGATCAATAGCGCTGAAATGTATCACATGACCTTCTGTAAGCCAGCCACTTGCCAATCGATGAGCGGATAATTAGCTCCCGGGCTTCAGCGCATCCCGTCGCATGCTCAACTTAGCTCTCATCATCCTCCATCAAGAAAACAAATTCCTTCAATATTCCATGGCCCACGAATAGTTACCACAACATGGGTATTCGGGGCTTATGGAATGTACATGTCGATGGTAAGCCTGAGGATGGGACGATGGCTGTATGCAAAATCAACACCTGTATAGGGAAGTGGTACCGCCTGTTTCACGAACCAACGGGGCGTATAACTTCTCCAGACGCACCTGCTACTCTGCAAACCGTCAGAAAGGTAGTCTCGACGACCGCCATTGAGGACTGGGAATCAATACCTTTCCCCATCACCTCTCCACACCAACTTAGATTATGTATACAACATCGATAAGGACCTAGGACTCTTAACGGTAACTCAGTGGACGGCCATCAACGGTGCACTGTCCCGGTTGATCCGACAGGCAAAGCTTGCTGCAATCGAAGATCCCTCACTCAGCACGCTAGATGATATTCTTGTTGATAACGAAGATATCAATAAGCAGCATCGCACACAGTATACTGAAACGGGACTAACAATATCACCAACGCTCAAGATAAACATCGCAAAGCCCACGTCTTTGACTGAGCTCCAACTTCGTTTATTTACAGACTTCGGTTTTCTGTGGCGGTTCTATTTTGATGACCTACCGTCCTGGTAACATGACTCGCGTCTTCGGAAGACCCTTGCCATTGGCCTTCTGCGTATCGCTGCATGGGATCTCGAAATACTATCCGACACAGACACCGAAGGGATCCCCAAAAACATTATAGGAGAGATCCCAATCGGATCCTACTCTATCCCAAAGTGGTCGGCTCCGTCTGAAAACATTTTCTGGCTTCATGGGTTTCTAGTCACTGTATACAGTGCGTCAGACACGCTTGAGAACGCTGTCCAAGAAACTCAGAGATATCTGGATAAGGAACAGTGTAAAAAGCCTGTTATCCATGTTATTCTAATCTCTTTAGGTCACGTTACTTTCGTCGAAATAACTGGTACAGGTGTACAGTACTCGCCGACCATACCTCTCGTCATCAACTCTTCGGCCATACAACCCTCACCTGGATTTCGAGCTCTAACTTCTGTTCTATCTTCGAACCCTTGGAAAATACCCCACAGGGAAAAATGGGGAATCAACATACCCACTGAGATTCTTGATAGAATACTCAAGGCCTTGGCACCCAAGGACGTAATCTCGTTTGCCCGAGCATCTACCGCGGTGGATAGATGGTATTATTCATCTCTTCCTCAATTGGACAGAGTCCTTGTGCGGAGTTTTGATTTCTCGATACCATGCTGTGGAGAACGACACAAACCCAACGGAGACGGTGTCTCCTGCTCAACCTGTTATACGTGGTACCACAGGAAGTGCGCTAGTCTCAGCTCTGAATCACAAGGTGATGGGTATTTATGTACAGAGTGCCAACAAAACGGAGCAAGCAATATTCTGGAGGCCGGGGGTATCTACAGAGCACGCCGGAAGATAGGATCGAAGCCCAGCTGCAAGGTGACTGTCGACGGTGAGGTAAAAGTGCTCAACTTGCGCACGGCGAAGCTAGCGGCCCGTCGGCCTGAACGGTTCTCTTTTAGAGGCCTATCAATTCCTCCCAACGACCTCAATTACACCATCCGGTTCAATCGCGTTTTCTCCGGTCTAGCATACGGCCTTGACGAGGTATGAGATACATGATAACCTAGCGATTGCAATCCTGTATTTGGTTTAGAGGGATCAGGTCTGTAGAAGCCGAGAGGATTCCATCTCTGCTTTGTAGCTCTCCGTCCCAGCTCTTCCGTCAGAATCAACTCTGGACCCTCCTGCCCCAGGCCAGGCATTTCTCGCCTCGACAACCACAATCGCACCCCCAACCGCTTTCGTAAGTCACAAAACGGCAGCAACTGCCCAGCATGCCCGTGGGGACCACGAGCACCAAAGCAAAGTACTGTACATGTGGGGATGCACCCAGGTCTTATAGGATCGAAGCCCAGAGACGGGGACTATGAATCCCTGCCTGTGTCGTACATCGTATCGTATACTCCCACAAGCACCTCAACCAGATCTAGAACCCACCATGCCACAAAGTAAGAATTAATAACTCCCCACCGAATCGAGTGTATCGACGAAGTCACCATGGATACATCCGCGGGGATCTGAACGATGCTGCTACGAGTATACAACACACGGACGGATTCCGCCCCACAACTCACACCCATTCGTCCGAGTGAAGCTGGCGCTACTGAGTAGAAGCAGCTGTGGAGGAGTCTACCGTCCAGAACGATTGGGGAGAGCTGATGTGAGCGCTGTGGAGAGGGCTGTGGGGATGAGTGGCGCTGTGGAGAGAGAGAGAGAGAGAGATGTGGACGGGTGGAAATACAGGGGGGGGGAAGGACTCCCTACCTACCTGTGAGTGACACGAGGCAGAGCGGGAGGTGTGGGATTGTGGTGGCGTCCTGGGCGTCTGGCTCCACAGCGCTGCGCTGTACACTGAGGGCTATCTCGGCCGGAGAGGGGGATGGAGATGGAGCGGAGCTTGCTCCTGTTCGATTCCCTTGGGCTTCGGAGGAGATACTGAAGAGATCGTGCTTTAGCTGGAGACGCTGTGGCCAATCCATGAATAACAAATTCAGGAGTTGATGAGAATAAGTCAAAGCCACAGGGAAAAACAGCAAGATAGTATCCCATATCGCAGAGCGTTGCTCCAGAGACAGGGGCTACCGGATCCGAGGATCGTGTAAGCTTTGCCATGCCTCTTGGGGAGAAAGCTGGGCAGGGGGGTGCCGGATTACGCATTTTCTGAGGTTCGGCCGAGGATGTTCGGTCGTTACACCGACTTTGCTAAGGTCGTAAACTCAATTTAATCACCTTCGGACGTAGACTTTTAGGGAGATAGATGTCTATATCGCTGAATGCAACTGTGGAGGATAGTGCTTGTCTAGCTGTGCTTGATGCTTAGGCTCCAAGTACTGTCCAAACGTATAGTACATGATTTCTAATCTTGGGGAGATGTGGGATGGATGCAGGGAAAGAGTCTCTTGGCTCGCTTCTGTGGAGAACCCGCACAAACCCCACAGTCTACTGTATTGGCTCGGACTCATGGAAGGCAATCAATAAGGGCAATTAGCGGGTGTTTGAGGCTGTCTACCAAGTAGTCATGAGTGGGTTAATGTTTAGCTGCCTTGGTTGGTTTCGTACTGCCACGTGGAGGACCATGGGGCTGGCGGCACTACAAAGCTGGGGTAGACTATGCAGAGTACATGGCTCTGGTAGCAGGTGATTGATGTGGGTATCCCTATTGGATAATTTACATTGTCAAGATGCTTCCCACCTTGGATACTCGAGTAAAGATAAGCTGAAATGTGATTGAACCATAGAAACCGTAAATATCATAAACTATCTTCCTAAGCAGCCTGACGCCACTTTTTGCCATAGATCTGCACCGCAATTATAGGCAAGAAACTGACCAGGAACATCAGGGCACTTCCAACTCCTGAGCTGGCGGCGATCCCAACATTGTCAAACATGTCGGGGAACCTGCTTGATGTTAGCACATAATTCACTGGTGGAAGAGCATCGACAGTAAGCTTACCAGAATGGACCGATGAAGCCCCACATCTGACGGACAAAGGTGATGAAGACACCGACGCTGCCCGAATCCTCAGGGTAGCAGTCGACGGCGTAGGTGACCATGACAGTCGTCACCAGCTGATTGCCAAAGGCAGCAATGGCGGTGCCGACCAGAGGGGAAACAACCCAGTGGTCTGCCTTGGCTTCTTGAATAGTCACCAAGAAGACAATCACGCCGACAATTGTCAGAATGACACCGGGATAGCCGAGCCAGAGACGATACTCGGGCTCAGGCCGGTGTTGAGTCTTGCGTGCCCGGCGGCTCATCCAGATATCAGACATGGTGCCACCAATCTGTTCACCCAGAACGGTGCCGATAATAACGCCGATGAATTGGAGGCCGAGTTGTTCGGCGTTGAGTCCGAACTTGACTTGCACGAGTTGGGGAACTTCCACCGTGATCATGACACTGCCGAACAAGAAAACCATGGCGTACGCGCATGCGGGAATCATCACACTGGGTCGTTTGGCCATGGACAGAGGATGAAGGAACTCGCGGAACGTCAGGGGAGTCGGGTCGATCCGCCGGAAAGAAAGGTACTGCGCTTTGAAGTCGGAGATACCCTCTGCACTGCCGCCGAGGTATCGGGTTTCAGGGCCGAAGAAGAGGTACAAGACGAATTGGACGCCGTTGACAATAGCCAGAACCCAGAACATCCACCGCCAACCGACTCTGTATGTAATGAATCCGTAAATCAATGGTCCTGGAAGGCACTATTAGAAATGAAATCTCAATCGGTCGCGGAGAGAAGACTTACCAACTGGAACACCGAGCGTCACCATCAAGGTCCAGACACCAAGGTATCGGCCGCGTTCCTTCTTGAAGAATGTCTCGGTAACGACGGCACTTCCGATCGCCGCTGCAGGAGAGATAAAGAAGGCCGTAAGGGCTCTGCATGCAGCCAAAGATGCGTAGTCAGGACTTTTCGCACAGCCGATATTGCATACCAGACTGCAAATGAGTGATAGAAGGAAGATTGGTCGGCGTCCGTAGCGGTTGGACAAGGGCTTCCAGAATAAAGGTGCACCTCCCAGAATGGCAATCTGTAATGAGGTAAGGTAACTCGCTCTTTGCATTGATACTCCAAAGTCTTCTGCAATACTGGAGTAGGCGGGGATGATGGACGCTGTGAAGGTAGCCATGCAGGCATGGAAGGCAACGAGGATCAGGTTGGACAGTTTCTATTGGAAGCAGCATGCTTAGTATGCTAAATCGTCGGGGAAGATGCAAGCAGTTTACCTTCCACAGGGGCCAGTTGTATGGATCCGCGGCCGACGGACTGGGGATCGGATCCAGATCTAGAGTTCCATGGCGCTGGATAAGATAGTCTTTGTGTGATTGTGACAGGGAAGCGGCAGCAATCTCGGCATAGGAAGAGGGACCCTCTTCAACTTTCTCAAAGTATTCGCTGCTATCTTTCTCGATTTTCGTTTCTTCGTGGGTCTTAGGCGAGGAAGAAGGACGGACGTCCTCCGTCATTTCGATGGAGGGCATAACTCCTCTTGTTGAGCGAAAGTTATCGATTGATTGAGGTTGTGATGCTGGTAAGGCTATTCCTGACAGGGACCACGACTGTTGGGCGACTTGTCAAGAGATTTCTCGAGGGAAGAGAGTGGAAGGGGTGTAAAGGACTGGACCCCAGATAAGGGCCGTCCAGGTTTATAAGCGAAACGGCCATTGCTCACGGTCCTTCTCCGCATATTCCGCAGCTAGAGCCAAGTTGAACAAGCGCTAATTGCTCTGACGGGCAATGCATCTAGATTGTAGAGTTGAGCGAGGTCCGGGGTTTGCGTACGTATGTCTGGGGGTGGGCCATCAGCGAGTGAGAGGAGGCGATAGCTGGACACGAGGTGTGGAGAGGAGCGTGGGGATGGGTGAGATCCCCACAAACAGCATTCTCAACCCCTCGCTTGCCCAATCAATGCGATGTGGAAGGTGGCGATGGCTGAAGCGAACAGAAAAGACGGAATTAAGTGTGCTGGAGGAGTGACTCGGATCTTGCCCTTTTAGTCAATCTGCCCCGGACGACCGGGAGGTTTGACCCACTTCGGTCTTCCCTTCCTCACAACCCCGGATCTGTGGGGAAGGCCTCAACTGCCCTTGCCTCCTTACCAACTGCACTGGTCGCTTCGAAAATAGTCCAGGCAATGAGACAGCAGAAAGAACTTCACACCAACTTGAAGAGTGAGATGTCAATTTCCATGGCCTCCAGCGTTTGTAAACGATGCGGCCGTTGCAGCTCTTTGCATTCTATCTCCGAAGTGCTAAGCGTCGCATTCTCCGGTCCCCACAAAGCTTGACGGAAACGTGATTCGCAGCAGCGGAATTTTCCCAACAGGAGTCAGGGCGTGTGAGTGCAAAGGAATGTGGCGCTTAGCTTCTTGAGGCACCGGTCAAGACAAGCCCAGCTGACGTCTGCAACGAGATAGTCGGTGGCAATGTGAGTCCAATTCCTGTGGCCTCCCCCCACACAGCACCTAGTCGACCAGCTCTTAGCTCAGCTGCATCTAGTGCAAGCAGGGTCTGTCTGTGTTAATTGCTGGTTGAATCTGATTATAACTGATAAGCAAACAACAATGCAAGACTAATCAATGCCGGTCTAGTGCACTCCACGAGCGGTCGGACCCCCCTCTTGACCCCGGGTTCATCTGCTTGCACCACACCTGTCAGTATGATAGCAGATTGCTTCATGTGAACAACTCTCAGTGAGATGTATTAGGGAATCGTGCAGCCTGTGGGTCACTTTTCCGACCGCCCGTACCGCGCGATTGATAAGGACCAGGTTGGGTAATATGCTGGAGCAATCTGATCGAGAGCTGGAACACAGTACGGTAGCGTAGCTCCAACCCGTGATAAGCTGACAGATCCCGCTCATACGCTATTGTCCAGCAAATTCTGTGAGGACTATTCACCACCCGACCGCCTTCTTGCACCAACACACGGCAGACATGGGGGCGCACTATTGCCCGCAGGAGTCTACTAATGAGTATCTTACGGAGTCAAAGTGTATACTGCGCAATTCACAACATATTCGTTGAGTTTGTTTTGAATGAATGTGGTATACTGACACTTCCTGTTGGCAACTATATGTACGAACGAGTGGTGGTAGAAACATTCGCAACAAGAAATCGCCCTGTTTGGCCAAGGAGAAACAGAACCCCTTCATGCGCTCCAGAAACAGCTATAGTTCATCTCTTCACTCCAGCAACAATCTCACAACAATCTGGTCAACCGAGTCTGTACTAGACACGACGGTTGTCAATCGTTTGCGGTCGCCGCTCAAGCTGTGGTTGTCACTGCCGTGCCCGAGGCGGTAATGGTGGAGCTCGACTGAACGAGGGAGACGGCCTGGGGGATCAGGGTCGGGCCAGGAACAACATAGGTGGAGAGCGACTGGTAGATATTGACAAGAATCCCAGCGTCTGTGGGTTTGTACAGCTCCGTGCCCAGGACTCCGGAAGGCTGGACCGTGCCGGTTCCAGTAACCTGAAGGTTGAAACATTGCATGTAATTCTGGGCTCCATTCTCACTTCCAGCTCCATGCAGAGCAATCAGCTCGTGACGCAGTACATAGTATCCTGGCGCGATACTTGCCGGAATCTCCACCAGCCAGGAGTTGTTGTTGGCGATGAGCTCATCGTCTCCCCAAATACCAGGAGGGTTGCTCTCATCCACCAAGCCAACACCATCGATCTTGAAGAACTCGAGGGTAGTCTTATCGACTGTCTCGCAGCTGGAGCCACAGTTGGCTAGGTAGCTGATGACGGGGCCATGGTGGCTGTCAGGCCAGGTCGTCCATTGGAGGCTGATCTTCTCTCCAGCAGCAACGACTGCGTGGCCTCTGGCATTCGTGGCGCTCAGATGACAAATCACATCATCTGTGTCGTATGCATCAGGGGAGATGAAGCCGTTAGCTGTGTTGGGTGTTTGCCATGCAACCACCACCGGAGGGTTGGAGTTGTAAGGGTCCGAATTGATGTCCCATCCACGGTAGGACACCCCGTTGATCACGATGTTTGACACGTGACCATGAGCAGCTACGCTGGTAGCAGCTGAAAGAAAAGAGATGAGTTTGACAAGCATGTTGATGCTATTCAAAGTAGATCGTCGGATCAATGCTGACACGAGCTTGTCATAGATGAGTCTGTCGATTCAACTGTCTTCACCGGGACGAGTACGACCTTTATATCTTCATCTCCCTGGGGAACCTCCACTACACTCTTTCCTCTCTTCCAGAATCCGATTCACGGAGCTTTCCCCGTAAAGGGTCCACGGCGTGCGACCTATAGAGCCAAGAGCTACGTGTATCCCGCTGACTGAGAACCAAGGACGGGATCGTGTGCTCGAGCATACGGGCGAGGAGAGATACTTCAGCAAGAAAGACTTCAAAGGTCTGTCTTGCGACTCCAGAGCCAAGGCCTTGGAATACCATCTCCGCTCGTGAATGGTAGGGTTGTGTGGCCAGCCAAGAGAAAAGCCGGGGTAACTGACGCAAGAATGTGCAGCATTTTCACGTTGACGAGCTCGGTGCAGGTCTGAAGACGCGGCTGGGTCCTTGTCGGCTGCTCTTCAAGACTGAGGTGCTCATCAGAACTAAGCTTGATTCCCCACGGGGGGGTGGTCGCTCGGTCGTATGGCGCTTCGGCCAAGACAGATCTCCGGTCCGCTTCGAGAATGGAAAGCTCCGCCGTATACATTTGTGCCATTATGGTTATACTAAAAGGAATGATCTAGTCTTACCATGACGAGCATCTCTTCTCTGTGGTTTGAAGTCCGCAAAAGGTACGAAGGACTGCACGAAAAAGAGCAAGCGTTGGCCCTCCGCACCAGCACTTATCAACCACTCAAGACAAACAAATCGGCGAGAAGAAGTACTGTATGCACTGAGATGTACATATAAATGTACCTGCAGATCACTTTCCCCGCGCATGGCTAAATTACCGGACGGGCTTCGAATTAACCATGGACGACGGATAAGCGGGATTGCCTCCGACGGCGGACAGGGCCCAAGGGCTTGGCTGCACCGAGAGGGAGAGTCATCTGCACATTTGCCGTGAAGAGATGGCATGTCGGTTGGGTGCGTTGATTTTCAATAGGTTCTGCATCTGAATTTGTAAGACTTGTCCGGTGCATGCTTTTTTCGAGTGGGGCATCAATGAGGGTCCGTCGACGTTCATCTGCCTGGCTGAGTGCGGACCGAGCCGAGTACTGTACGCACTTCCCAGTAGCCACGGTAAGCAATATAAAACCAAAGAAAGGATATAACATACAACAGCAGAAGTAACAGCGGTCACCAAGCGCCCTTTTCCAGACAATCGGTCAGCATGTTGCTGAGTCACCAACCCGTTCTTCCGTCTTCCCCGATCCTAGATCATCTACATATAAGCTAAAATGATGCTTATTTTAGTGTGAATAGGTTCCTTGTCAACATGGACCTCTGACCCCCTTCATGATACCAGTACCATTAGGGCTATGAGGACTTCCAATGTTGTTAGCGCTAATTATGCTTACGAGAACTGTTTTCTTTCAAGCTTTTCTTGTACGATTTGCAGCCTTCAGCTGGGAGACTTATGTTCCTACTGAGATTTTTGGTTACTTTTCTTTCTACTGTGCCCTCATCTTATTGACTCCTGGTCGACCGCCCAAAAGTGAATCTCCGTTTTAGCTGTTGATTCGCAGCACCCACTCCCCGCGGGGTCGGTTCAACGGGCACATACAATTTCTCATCATTCTCGAAATACTCATCTATATCGAGCACGCGGGTGGTACTCGTGATCAGCAATTTGTACAGCGCTCCTCCCGCCCCGAGCAGCTTGACGAGCTTCTTAACCAAGCGCTTCGTCTCCCAGCCGAATTCGCGCGTCTCGTAGTAATTGATCCCGTCGAGGATCAGAAAGACCGGCTGCCGGCGCGGGAGGGCTTTGATCAGTTTGCGCAAGATCGAGACGAGAAAGTCCGGCGTCAGGTTCGAGACCGCGCCCCGGAACGCCTGGGCGTCGTCGACGCCGAGACATTCGAGTTCGCCGAACGTCCACTGCCGCAGGAGCTGATGCAGAAGCACGGCCGTCGCGATGGAGCCCGCGGACCCGACGTCGCGGTGGTCGGACGGCGGGTGCAACCCGCAGAAGTGGTGCAAGACGACGATGGGCCCGAGGCTCCGCAGGCTCTCGATCAGCAGCGCGCAGAAGAAGGAAAGGGGGCTGATCCGTTGCAGGGCGCAGTTTCCGTGGACGACCAGCGCGCGCGAGTGCCGGGATTTGAACCACCTGTGGACTTTGGGGTCGGAGATCGTCCAGCTCGTCCGTTGCTGGTCCGGTCCTGCCATGGAGAAGCCGGCTTGGAGCACTCGCTGCAGGGGTCCGTGGGTCGTTGCATCGCTATCGTCCGTAGACGGCAGGACCGAGGGGAATGCCGCTTCCAGGGCTTGGATGATTTCTCCGGGAGTTATGTGTGCTCGGGGCTTGGTAGACTCCGCCTTGTGCTGTGAGATTTGCACCAGGATTTCCTGGAACCCTGTGCGTTGTGGTGAGTTGATCCCATCTCTGGAGAGTTGTCACTTCGCGAGGGAATCAGAACATACATTTGGTGTTCATCGACTGCCGGGTGAGGAACTCTATAAGCACGGCTTTGATCTCAGCAACAGTCCCCTGCGTTCCTCGCACCCGGTCCGCAATCTCAATAAATCGATTCCGATCGCAGAATTGAATTGTGCGCTCGACAGTCTCCGACGCCTTTTTCACATCGTCGAGCTCGGCTTGAAGGGGTCGGTATGTGCGTTGAAGGAAGAGTGGTTTCAGAAACTCGACTGCGATGGTTAGCATACAGTCAAGAGGGGCGCGCGCGGCGACAGGGGCGTACGTACATGAACGGTCCTTGGTCCAGAAATCGATGATAGCTTCCATGGCGGTCAGGATCTTGAGGTAAAGTTGACAGGTAGCGGTTTGAAGGATTGGCTCTGAGCTGTACAACTCGGCATACTGGCTTGCATGCTCCACCTTTTCGGGCAATAGCTCAACCAGGGCGAAAATCTCCTCCCGCGATCGGTTCGCCGCCGAACAAGCCTGTCGAAATGAATGATTAGATTCTGGGTGGTCTCATGGTATTGCCATCACAATTCTTGCTTGCCCATACTCACACCTAACATGAACTTGATCCCCCCGCAGACAACGGAGGTATAGTCCGTGTCTGGGATCAGATCCAGGAAGGGACCCACTGCCTCCGCCCTGCTTGCCCCCTTTCGGAACAACTTTCGGAACTTGCTCGAGGTTTTGTAGTGATCCTCTGCTTCTCGAAGTGAGGCGAAGACGTCCTCCCAGCTGTGCATCTGAGTGATGTTGGCCCGCACTTTCGCCGCGACCGATTCCTTACCCCGCTTCCGTTGCATACTCATGTTGCTTTTCTCTTTGTCGTGCTCCGCATCCCAGGCCTCGAGGATTTTGACAAACTTGACCTTGGCTTCCTCAGCCTGCTGGCGACTCTTTCTGTGAGAACAAAAGTCAATTCTACCAAAAACGTCACGCCCGAAGGTGGAAGGACAAGAACAAACTCAGCCTCGTCTTTGTCTTGGGACTCCGGTTGCGCTCGATTTGTATCCGCATGATTCGTGGTTCGAGCTGCTGCATGAGAGAGAAGACTTGACCATATCCGCTCAGCAAAGATCTCTGGGGGTTCGGGGAGATGATCGCCAGGAGGCCAGTCATGCGTGGTCATCGTGCTTCTCGATCGTGAGACAGAGAGATGATGCTTCCGAAGTCGGTCGTATTGTTGTCCTTCAGGAAGATCAAGGAGAGAATTGAGAACAAATCATGACTGCAACCCTAGAATGCAGTAGTTCCTGAGTTCGTTCTGAGTTCGTTCTGAGTTCGTTCTGTGAAAGCCGCAGGATGATCAGGAGGTTTCTCCACCAGGATGATGTGTCGACCAGGGGTGTGCAGGAGCTGAAAGCCCACAAGATAATCTGATTGGGTCGAGGCGCAGTGTGGCCTTTTCTAGCGTCGGTGATAGTGATGAGTCTACAATAAGCGAAGCAAACATGGCAACCTCAGCCCCTCCTCTCACTCGAGGGGTACTTTTGGTCGGCGAGGCGAGCAATGATTCTTTTCTCCCAGATTCAGCCTCTTCCCTCCCCCCCCCCTAACACCCCCAAAGGCTCTCAGACTCAGCTATTGGCAAATCCCTTCAACCCAATTCACCACGGCACCATGGCGACTTCTACACAATTATCCACGCCTCCTGTCGCTCAGCACAGTGACCTGGAGTTACAGAACTTAGTTCTCGAAACGGGAGATGGCGAGCAGTCCGCCGTTGGTGTTGTTTCTGATCAGCAACCAGCTCAACCAGCTCAACCAGAGGATGGCGCACCAGTTGACGCCAACAGCGAAGGTCTACATGGAGCGATAAAGCCTGACCTTTCCGCGGAGACTTTTTCTGAAGAAGTCCTTGAGGCGATAAAGAAGTTACATCAGGCCTGGGATGATTACACGAATGATAAATGGAGCGGCGGTTCCTATTCGCATCAAGATCTGACCGGTGCGGCAAAGATTCTGCGTTATTTTGAGAGAAAGTTGTCACTAAAGTCAAGAATTGCACAAAGTGAAATGCTGTCGTTCATGATTCAATCATATTTCCGGCTGGTGGATGACCGGTAAGCGTTCTCCTCCATCCTCCAACGTTGTGGACGAATCTCACCCACCGGATCTGGCCTACAGTTTATTCGCCCTCGAAAGGGATACTGCAACCCAACAAGCCAGTCCAGATGCAGGCGAAGAAAAGATGTGTGAAAAGACCGACAAGGGTAATGAAGCCGAAAAAGTCTCCTCCGAGGCCACGATCCCAAGCAAGAACCCGGTCCTGTGGCGGGACTTTAAACGAAAGGAGGAACAGGAGAAGATTAGCAATGTTCATGCCATCGACGTCCTCATTGGCGAGGCGGTCATTCCACATAATATCTGGCCGAATTTCCATGCAAGAAACATCCTTTGCCTGCAAGACATACGCCGGTCCTGGTTCTTGCGAGATATAATGCGCTTTCAGGACGAAAACGAAACCCCGAAGGATGCTCCGATTACAGCAAACGCGTCGCAACTGGCCGCGGGGGATTATTCGCCAATGCCGGATCGGATCCGCATCAACGGAACGTCCCTACAGAAACTACTGGAGAAGGTTCTGGATTTAGAGCTCTATAAGGAGGGCTCACCGATTGTCTTGCTCAAACCATATAAGATTCTTGCGCAGCATGAAAAGACAATCCGTGGTGTCCACGCGCAGTTGCGAAGGAAATTTGGGCCGACCCCCACCGGAGAACCGTCCCCGACCTCGACTTCGAGCCAGAATCCCGGCAGCTCTCATCAGTTCCACCAAGGCGGGAGCTCTCGCGACGAGGAAGAAGAGAGGATGTTGGAATAATACGGCTCGGAGCAAGCCTACAAAGAGTTGTGTTGTTTGATCGACTTTATGGACCACGAACTGGCTCCCCTCAAGGCACTGGAGATGGGCTCCGTGAAGAGAATCTACTACTCAGACCTTTGGCATATCTTCAAACCTGGACAAGTAGTGATAACCAGACAAGAGCCTCTTCATGCCTATCGGGTGCTTTATGTCACTGCCGGTCGCCCATACTTATCCCCCCCTGCGTTGGAAAACGATGATTCCGGGGATGGGTATAAAGTCCCAGCCAAAGAGAGTGACCTTCTTATTCACTGTTACCAGATTCAGTTCGATGGGCAAAGGTTTGGCCCGGTCACTCACACCTTCAACATCCAACCATATTCTGGGCGGCTCAGAGTGAAGAACCTGCCCATTTATCCTCTAAAATTCGTCGAAGATCCCAAGGTCCTCAAGGAAACTCTGGTATCCAGTGGTCGGAAATTCTTACGGGTTTCAAAAGGCACGCATCTGCAATACAGGGGACCGAATCTGCACGAGGGAGAGGAAATCGACAGCGAAGTCATTGTGGATTTCCAGACTGCCATCTGGGACGACCGCGATAAAGACCCAGGTTGGAATTATAGAGTAGAGTTCGGTGTCAATCCACCCAAGGGATCCAACCGAGCCGAAGTTACTTTGGTGTCCGCTGGAGGGTGTCTCCGAGTGGATTGTTGCGAAAATGACCGTGTATACGACGATCTCGACATCGACCATCGCAGGATGGAGGATTTCATAGCCAAGAACAGATTGCTGACCACGGATACTCGCTATCTCGATGACAACCCGGAGAACGTGCCAGAGGAGGATCTTATCCTTTTCCCCAACCGAGTCTTCGCATTTGTGCTCAAAGATCGAAAATGGGGTAAGCACATGGACATGCACACTTGATATATACAAAGCCTCTGCTGCATTTGCCCTGGAGCTAACGCTGGAATAGCGGTGATTGATCTCAACCACGTGGACCTCGATGCTGGCGCCGATCAACCGAGGGATCGTGGATGGAACTCGTTGGTGTTGCCCCCTGGTCACAAACAGATGGTCCATTCGCTTGTCCAAGCGCATTTCCGTCATCGTCGTGAGGAAGCACTGGATCGGAACTCACAAGCGGATCTTATCCGAGGGAAGGGTACGCTGCAAGAACTCTGTAGCGTGCTTGAAACGAGCTAATCTTCCGAGTGGCAGGCAAGGGACTTATCATTCTCCTCCATGGTGCACCAGGAGTGGGGAAAACGTCAACTGCTGGTAAGGATTGATTGAGAGAACCACCCAGTAAGAAGACACTGACCGGCCTATAGAATGTGTAGCTGAGCTTTGTAACCTGCCACTGTACCCCATCACCTGTGGTGACCTGGGAATCACAGCCACCGACGTGGAATCTCGCCTGAAGTATATATTCACTCAAGCGCAGAAGTGGAAATGTGTTCTCCTATTAGACGAGGTGAGTTGCCTAACACAAAGGGAGAAAATGCTCTGGGGCATCGGAACTAATACCCGACAACAGGCCGATGTCTTCCTGAGCCAGAGAGAGAACAATGTGAAGCACAACAGCCTGGTTTCAGTCTTCCTACGTGTCCTCGAGTATTACCAGGGTATCCTCTTCCTCACCACGAATCGCGTTGGCAAGATCGACGAAGCCTTCCGGTCCCGCGTCCACATCAGCCTCTACTATCCCCCGCTCGACAAGCGCTCCACGCAGAAGATCTTCGCCGAGAACATGAGCCTGGCCGAGAAGCGCGGCAAGAGCGTGATCCGGGTCAACCGGGACGAGATCCGCGACTTCGCCCGGGAGCACTACCGGAACAACGACCCGCAGCGCCGCTGGAACGGCCGCCAGATCCGCAATGCCTTCCACATCGCCATCGCCATCGCTGAGGACCGGGCCGCCGAGAAGGATGCCAAGGCCGCCGCGGAGGGCAAGGAGCGGAGGCATACCCCGGTCCTCAAGGCCGAATACTTGAGGCTGGTCGAAGCGGCCTCCACGCGGTTCGATGACTACCTGCACACCGTCCACGGTATGGGCCAGCAGGACCTTGCGAAGCAGGGCTCAACCCGCAGGGATGACTGGGAGGAAGACCGCGACCGACGAGACAATCGGAAGTATCAATCCAGTCGTGCTGCCGACCCCCGGCGGCGAAAGGTAAACGAATATTCTGAGACTTCGATGACGGAATCCAGCGAGGCAGAGACCCACAAGCATACTTCCTCCGAGCAGGATAGCGATGATGGTTCAGAGAGAGGGAGAAAAGAGGAAGAGGAGCCTTCCAGCTCAGATGAAGAACCCTCATTGCGAGAGTCGCGGAAGCGCTCAGATCGAAAGAAGGGTTCGCAGACCAAAGAACGTAAGCATGGGCCAGGGGAGACCCGAAAGGATAGTACGCGATCTTCGAGAAAGAATAAAGACAGTCGCTAGATGGCTGCTTCGGTGGTCGATTTAGAAGGAATGGATGTGAAGACCTGTACAGACGCTAGTCTTACACCTTATATTTGCATATTTACTTCAGCACTGATTATATCGGGTATCTTAGAGATAGGACACTCGAGCTGAAATGCTCTTTTTGGAATAGACATGCTGGACAGGGTAGTTAGAAGTTATAAGCCACCCTCCCTGAGCTTTCAGAAATCCAAACGAGAGGCAAAAACATACAACAGAAGGCAGTCGCTGGTAGTCTCCCACCAACTATTCACCTCCCGGCATGTAGCTTCAGTACAGTCAAGGCAGGTGGATACTGTGTAGATGAGTGTGGGCTAGATAGAGTAACCTGATAACCCAATCTCTGTTCTGATCTCGATTAGGGCTAACCACCAGCCCACCATAGAGCATCATATCTCATGCATCTTCAGAACAGTTATCCTTTACTATCAACCAGAGTGTTGTTGACGCATAGATAACTGTAGAAATGATTGTAATATGTGAGTGGTGCACAGCGCCAACGGTATCCTCAATACTAACTTCCTGCTTTCTTCTTCTCCCCCACTCCAACCCCACTAACTAGTGATCATCCAATCACTTACCCCCATCACCAGTGCCGCCAGCACCATTACTTGTACCATCGTCCGCTTCGCAGATATTCAAAAAGCCGAGACCGAACTACGCTGATGAGTAAGTAGCTTTTGCTGAAATGGGGGGTTGTTCTTTGGAAACCACTTACCGATACGCACTGCACTGCACGTACCACTCCCTACTGGAAAGCGTTGATTCCTTCGATTCTTCTGCTCGCTGGTGCAGCATCCGGAGCCTCTTATGGGCAGTACAGCCACCAAGAATCGTAACTTGGGATCCCAAGATCCTAGTCAGGACCACGAGCGGACAGCATTTTGCAGCCTGGCCAGATGAACAGCCGGGCTAGAACGAATCCCAAACGACACACGGTTAGAATTTGGGGGGTAGGCTAATATTCGTGGTCTGCGTGAAATATTGAGACACCCTTTCTACTGGAATTTCGGACGGATGTATAAAGGGGAATAAATGCTGATGTTTGGCCTCGCGGTCTGCTTGACTAAAGTACAGGGTGCATCACCCCGGCTCGTAGGTTGGCTTGGTATTTTCGTACTACTTAACACCTCCCATCCGACTATTCCAAAAGACGAGACGCTATTCACTGTACTAAACGCTGCTGCACTCCGAAATGCCCACCTGCATGTGAAAGACCTGGAACGCTAAAGGAAACCAAGGCCCTCCATCATGTAATCAACTGTACTATACCGCATCAATGCATCCCAGTCACTCACTGCACTTAACCTTATCCCCTCCCCCTTGCCCTCGCCCTTCCCCTTCCCTCCACAACCGCAACCACTCCTCCACAATCCCACAATAATCCTCAGGCCCATAACTCTCGAACCACTCGCGCAGCACCCCGTCCTTCCTTCTGACCCGCAAGCCCAGATCCTTCAAGAGCAGATCCACATACGGCAGGCCCTCGTAGAAGGCGATCGGGAACCGGTGCCCGAAGCTCCCGGGGTACCGCCACTGCGAGAACTGCGAGTGCAGCAGCGTGTCCCGCCAGATCTGGTCGGGGGTGCCTCGGCCTACTGGTAAGGATGTGGTGGGGTTGTCTGAGCGGTTGTCATCGTCACCACCACCCCCACTACTGCTGAAATACGCCGTGAGCCAGAGGGCTTGCGTCTGCGCGCACACGGCGTTGAGGGTTGTTGCTACGAAGCCGGCGAAGCCGATGCTGCGGTCATTGATGAAGGCCGGGGGCACCATGAAGCGGTAGAGGCGCCAGGGGGCGTCGTCGCGGTGGGGCACCTTTGTGTCTGCTGCCGCGGCGGCGGCGGCAGCAGCAGCAGCAGCAGCGACAGCGGCTTTATCCATGATACCGTTGTTCAGGAACTGGAATTGGAGGAGGATCTCGCGATCGATGCGCTCAGCCTGCGGGTTGCGCGCGCCCTGGGTGCGGGGGAAGCCCATCTGCTCGTGGACTTCGGCGGGCAGGAACTTGATGGTCGGCCAGTGCTGCCAGCCCCCGGAGACGATTAGGGCGTCGACGTCGAGGGAGGGCCCGTCATGCAAGTGAACGAGGCCCGGGGCAGCGAGATGGTCGATGTCGGCCGTGTGGATCTGGATCATGCCGCTGTCGATGTACTGGAAGAAGTCGGGCGGGTAGTTGCGGGCGCTGAAGCCGCCGGCCGGGGTGAACGGCTTGATGGCCTGGGGTTGCAGCTTGCGGGTCTCGGCGCTGCGGACGAGGGCCGGGTCCTGCAGGCACGTGCTGCTGAACCAGGTCCAGAGGTGTCGCGAGATCCACTGGCCCAGCGTCGTGCCCTGCAGGAAGCGCGGCATCCAGCCGCCGCCGTTGCCGTCCGGGTCGCCCCAGGGGCAGGGGCTCAGCCAGGTCATGCACCGCGTGGTCACGATCTTCTCCATCCAGAGGCGGAAGGGCGTGGCCTGTGCCGGTAAAAGGCGCGCGGGCCCGTGGCCGGACTTGCGCAGGATCCAGTGCACCCGGGTGCCTAGGGAGGCGAACTGGTAGGCGGCGTCCCAGGCGGATTTGGAGCCTCCCACCACTGCAACAGCTTTCGCGGTATGGTATAGCTCGTGGTGACTGGCGAGGTCTCTGCAGTGGAGTAGTGGACGCTCGAAGGATGAGGCGCCAGGGTATTGGGGCATAACAGGCTCGGAGGCCAGGCCTGTTGCGACGATCAGACGACGTGTGTTGATCGTGATGGGTTGCTTGTCTTGAATGGCTGAGATGAACCACGACCCGTCGGAACATTTCTCCACGGTTTCAACACGGCACGAGAGACGGATACGGCGGTGGAGATCGTACTGGGTTGCGAAGGCCTCGAAGTACTTGTACACCACCTCACCTGGTACATGTTGGTGCCACTTCACACCGAAGCGTGCCTCAGACATGGGAAAGTCGCTGTACGCATAGCTTCCCGCGATACTGTTCGTCTTGACGCCGCGGCACAGCCTATCCCGGCCCCACACTCCTCCCACAGAACGACTCGCTTCAAGAATCTCCACGCTAGCAGTGGGATTGACATCTAGATACGTCTTCGCGGCCATGAGGCCATACAGACCTGATGCATATCACGACAGCTGATTAGTGGAGCACATCCTCCTCGGTGACAATGTGCGACTTACCAGCGCCAATGACCACCATATCGTTCATTTCTGCCATGATTACCGTAGATACGAGATGTATCAGGATTCGATAAGCTTGCTTCTGGGATCACTGGGCTTATCGTACAACCTCGTCGCTTCTTATCCCTCCCAGCAAAAGTGCTTCGTTGCTCCTAGCCTCATTTCATCATACCTGATTCAAGCCGATACTTCATGAAAATCAAGTCTCATGCTGGGTAAATCAGGTTATACAAAGTTATTGCCTGCGCGGATCAGGTTCTTGACGTTCCATAGTTCTCAGCCGACGAATAAGGTCGAACTTTCAACAGATCATGGTGCATTTAGCTCTGGATGATGCTTCGGAATCCAGCGGATGAAGTCACAATGGCGACACCAGTGAATTGTCGTGTATATGTTCACGAAACCTGATACTTGCTATCATGAGGTGAGTAGACAGACCAGAAGAGTAGAGCTTTGAAAGGACTCATTCTTGTCACGAGGAGAAGAGGCATAGTCGAAATCGCAGGAGGCGACCCGAGCCAAGTCTCCAAGCCCATTGCTAGTACAATTGATTGACTTTGAGCCTGACTGTGGAGCATTTCCCGATGCAGGAATCGCTCATTGTGAACTGAATCATGATACCCGATTCATGGGGGCCAAACCTCGCGACATCGAGTCCGTGCGTGCCCAGCTCACGGGGAATGGTACCCTCAACCAAGAAAGCAGACCCCGAGCCTAGGCCACAGCCAAAGCGCGAGATCTACAGATATCTTCAGGATTGGCAGATTCGCATCACGGATTAAGACTCCGCCAACGAGCTCGGTGGCCGTTAAAAGAGAGTTTCTTCACGACTTGAGCCGCCTATGAACACTCACGATTAGCGACCACTCGACAGCCGAAACAGTTTCCTCACAGTAGCACCATGCACTATGACAACACGTTCGTCAGAACCTTGAACCTCTTCCCTTCGATGATAAACTTTATCACACACCATGAACGGTTCGAGATGTGAACATGGCGCCAGTTGACTCGGCGTGGGACTAATGTTGTCAACGTTGGCAGAGGCAACTAACTCCGCTTGGCAAGACTTTCATCTTTTTGAAGGAAATGCTTCTTACGCTGCAGATAGCTTTTCTTCCAGAAAAAATGTTGATCGAGCTGCACGTGCGATGTCAAGGGTTTTCTGGGCCAAGATTTCTGCCCAATGCAGTTTCCGCTCCCTCCCCGCGGTAGCGGCTAAAGTCGCCATCTGCAGGCCGGCATGCAGAGCGACCAAAGCGTCTGGAAGTTGGAAAGAAACCTATCTGGCTGGGCTCTGAGCCCGGTTGTCGATCAGCTAGCGGCCTTGTTCGCGATACGTTGAATCGCGGTGAATATGGCTATAAAGGGACCAGGCGCATAGAGTAGGCACTGTTGATGGAGTAGACCTGCCGCAAGATATTCGCTGAGTTTGCATCTGATTTCCAAATCCGATCGTCGCAATGTCCCATATGACAGGCCTAATTGTTTTGTTCCCCGCTATCATAAGTCTCTACTTGGTTGTAGCTCTAGCGGGACGCTGGCGCAACAGGCCCCCTCTTCCACCCGGACCTAGGAGCGTGATTCCCTGGATTGGAAATCTCGATGCTCTACCAAAAGGTGGTCAGAAGGAGTACCTTCACTGGCTGCGCCATCGTGATCTATACGGTGAGTATACAGCCTAACCAAGATACCCGTGAAAGGTTTATGCCGTGCGGAGTTGACATGCCAGCAAAGGCCCAATTAGCTCCGTCACAGTCATGGGTCGAACGTTTGTGATATTGAACGATGTTAGTTTGGCCTTTGAGATGCTCGAAAGGCGAGGGGCCATCTATTCTTCCAGGCCACGGCAGGTGTTCTGTGGTGACATGTATTTCCCCTTCTCCGTGGCATATGCACGGCAACGACAAGTGAGCAAATGACCAAACTCTATCAGGATTGGATGGAGCCAATCCGTCGCTCTGTCACCTTACTCGGAACGGCTGCGCATTCATCGGAAGAATACGATGCGTGTGCTTGGTTCGCCAACTGCAGCGGCTCGATTTGAACCATTGCAGGAGAAAGAGGCCGCTCATTTTCTCGCCCGGGTACTGGAAAATCCCGATGAGTTGGTAGAACATATCCGAAGGTTCGTCATCATGCATGAGCATCTTGCATACAGAAATGAGCTGACAAGAATTTTTGTCCAAGCGAAGCAGGATCATTCATTCTCAACCTGGTTTACGGATACAAGACGAACAAACAAGGTTCGGATCCTCTAGTTGAGTTAGCGCATAAGGTAATGGAGGAGTTCGCACAGGCTTCTCTTCCCGGGGAGTACTTGGTGGATTTGGTGCCATGTTGTATGTACTCCTTCTTCTTTCGTAAAGAGAACTAATCAGGAGCAGTGCGAGCTCTCCCAGACTGGATACCGGGAATGAATTTCAAGAGAGTTGCAAAGCGCTTGCGACAGAACCTGACGAGAATGACTGAGCTTCCTCATGCATTTGTGCGGCATAAGATGGAAATGCAACAAGACTCGGATTGCTTTCTATCGCGATTGTTACGCGCAGCGAATGACGAGTCTAGCCACAAATGGACGGCCTTGTCGCTATACAGCGCAGGAGCTGACACTGCATGTCGTCCCACTTCACAACTCTGAGTAGAAGTATTGCTGATACGCTGTAGACTGTATCAGCTCTTTCAACCTTTATTCTCGCAATGACTCTGTATCCTGATGTTCAAGGAAAGGCGCAAGCTGAGATCGACGAGGTGATCGGCAAAAACAGGCTTCCAACTTTCAATGATCGTTCGGATCTACCCTACATCAATGCGCTCGTGAAAGAAGTTCTTCGATGGCATCCGGTGACTCCAATGGCATTACCGCATACCAATGTGGAGAGCGATAGCTTTCATGGGTACTTTATCCCGAAAGAGTCAATCATTCTGCCCAACGTCTGGTGAGCCTCCTTCCGGACATTTCAGGCTCATACGCTCACCTGTTGGAAGGGCGTTTATGCATGATCCGCACACTTACAATGACCCGATGACATTCAAGCCGGAGCGTTTTCTGTCATTGGAGGGTAAGAGCCCGGAGCTTGATCCGCGGAAAATGGCATTCGGCTTCGGGCGGCGACTTTGCCCCGGACGTATACTGGCAGAATCGTCGATCTTCATCATCGTTGTGCAGTTTCTGGCTGTATTCGAGGTCAAAACAAGGCAAACTAGCCAGGATGAGAAACACAAGCAAATGACCCCGGAGTTCCAGCCAGGGGTTATCAGTCACCCAGCGCCATTTGACTTTCGGGTTCGAGCGCGGAGTCCACACTGTGAAGCGTTGATCCGTAGTTCCCAGGAAGCCCACCCATGGTTGGAAAGCGATGCACATACACTGGCGCATCTTGGTTTCTGGTAGAGTTTTGTGGCCATGCAGGCTGATATCACAGGATCAAAATCCTCGTATTGCGATGTGATGTAATCGGTTGACATTATGGGTAGACGCCCTAGATTCAAGGATGATCATGTATGTGTGGGTAAATGCCAGGGGAGTGAGAGGTCTTTGTGAATCTTGCGTGTTTGTTTGCCCCAGCCTTGATTTCAGACATGCAACTGTGGTTTCGCGCTTGGCAGAGCCGTTACCTTGTTTGCGTTGTCATGCAAGCCGAGATTGGGGGCGGGGACCCGGCATCGTATAGGTACTAAGCCTTCAAGCCTGTTAAAAGACGGCCTTGGCCACGAGTTGTGCTGGAAAGTTCATGTCCCCAGAAAAGGTCATCCATCATGTCTGATTTCTTAAATGAATCCACTTCTGTGGCTCCACTGCCTGCAGACGATATTGTGTCATGTGTGCGGATTGGCAAAGTCAAACAACTGGGACCAGGGTCTGTGACTTCAGCCATCGAGAAGTCAGCATGTGCGGGCAGGGTGTATGTCACCGATCAGGGTATAACTGGCGATGAACAGGCGTACGAACACCATGGTGGGGTCGACAAAGCCTTGCATCAATACTGCTCTCGTCACTACGAGGCCTGGAAGCGAGAGGTTCCCGAGCGAGCACACTTGTTCAACGTAGGCGGATACGGAGAGAATATTTCAGCACACTCCTTCGATGAGACCAACACCTGCATCGGCGATATTCTTGAGATTGGTTCGGAAGGCGTTCTAGTCCAAGTCAGTGAGCCCCGACAGCCATGTTTCAAGCTAAATCGTCGCTTTGAGTTCGCGCAAGCTTCAATCCGAACGCAAATGACCAGACGGACCGGGTGGTATCTGCGCGTCTTGAAACCGGGTTTCATACAGGCTGGTGATCGTATTCGATTGGTACGTCGAATCAACCCCAGATGGTCGATTAGCGAAGTGGGGAAAATCCTCTGGGAGGATCGAAAGAATCTCGAGTCATTGAAGGAACTCAGTGACCTGCCTGGGCTTGGCAGAGAGATTGCACAGGTATTTCGCCGGCGCCTTGCCACTCAAGAGGATGAGGATATGCTGTTTCGTCTAAACGGCGAGGCGTCAATGTGGGAGGAGCCAAGGAGTTGTGGAATAGCCAGGACAGTGAACTTGGTCATTCTTTCCAAAGTGTTCCTATTCGTTGGGATTGTGTTTGGGGTATGGATTGTACTGAGGCGGGTTGTGGTCTCTCTAGAGGTCAAGGATTATCGGGACCGTGTGAATAGTGGACTGTGAGAATAAAAAAGAAGATGAGCTGATAGGAAATAGGTATTGTGAGTTGCGAATTTCCCGTTCCTCATCCCGGAACCGATGCTTACCAATCTCCGTAAACCAAGAATTGCAAAATAAGCAACTCGTTCTCCGGGACGTTTTACTAAAGGCAAAGTAAAGCAAACTTCGGTGCGGACATGCAAAATAGGGCACCATCGCATCCGGGCCGGCCGGGGACCATAGCCGATGAAATAGCAGCGGCGGTTTGATGTTCAAAAAAGCATGGGATCGGAGCATGTTCGTATTAAGGCATAGTAGGCACAGCCACACTTACTGCAGGGGTGGAAAACAGCGCAGTGCATACAACTACAGCGTAATATACAACAAATTGTCGTCAGGAGAACACCTCCATCCCTCACTCACACGGCCTGGCAATTTCCTGGACATAAAAGAGCTCTCCAAAGCGAGTCAAATCAGATACCCATGCTCAGACGCCAATATTGCAGACTCGAAACACAGTTCTAATCTTGCAAACATGGTTTACCCCCTTTTGACCCACCAAGCCGTGCCCATCACAAGCACCCCTGTAATCACCGCCCATCGCATCAAACCCCTCCTGATGTAATGCGCCGCCGCCCGCTCCATCGCCTTGGAATCATTGATCTTGGGAAACGGCATATCCTTGGGGACCTCCTTACCCAAGCCCCGACAGAGCGGCTCCCACCCGTCCCGAACATCAAACACCACCAACCGATCCGCCGGGACCACCTCCCTCAACCACTCCAGATGGCGCTGGTAGACCCACGCTTTATCCTGCGCCTGGCCATCGTAGACTCGCGCCCACTGCGCTCTCACCAACGAGATGAAGGTCATGAAATGTCGCATCCCGGGCAGGGGCAGTAGGACCGCCCATAAGAACCACGGGGCCACAACCGAGGTGAGCGTGTCGATGCTCTGACTCCAGGCCTGCGGATCGCGCACCGTGACGACCACCTTGGCGTTCGGGTAGAGCGTAAGCAGCTCGGGTACCAAGTGCGAAGCGGGCGCGTCCGTGATGGCGGCGTAGCCGGTGGTGAGGGAGTGGAGGAGTGACAGCGTGTGGTCGGCGTCATTGCGCAGCCATGTGCGAAGAAGGTGGTTCCAGCGCGGGAGCTCCGTGGGCGGGCCAAGGGTGATCTGCGTGCCGCCGTGGTAGACGGGGCCCTCCAGGAGGATGGAGAGGGCGGCGCTGAGCGAGGCAGTGCCTGTGCGGGAGAGACCGGCGCCGATGACTTGGATGGTGGTGTCGGGCTTGGGGGTGGAGGGAGTTTGGCCCATTTTCTGCTGGAATAGTAAATAGTTGTTTGCAGTGGACAAGGATGGATTGGGTGGGAAGGGAGGAAGTGGAGGGGTAGGGATGGTTTAAATAAACCGTGCCCCTGGATTTGGCTATGCTACCATGATATGTCAATTTCTGAATCATAGCCGCATCATCCCTGCAATGTAAATGTTTGGCAGGGGCCGGGGGGAAGATCCGTCGGTTTCGGTCCAGTAAGCTGGTCTCTGGCGTTTGACACTCTACATGAAACTTTAGACATAATTTCATATGCGACAGGCTCCAGCGAAGATGATCCTGCGCAAATGGCCCGGATCTTACCGTGGTTGTTCCCCCTCTCACTACCGGTCAATTGTTGCTTGGTTGAGATTCACGCACCTCGCCATGTGACCGCGCGGGGACTTTCTCTCAAGGACTACGGTGCCAGAATCGAACCGAAACCAGTCTGGAGGGTGATAAATCCGATTTTGATCCCTGTTTGCTGCCAATAGTCTCAGCAGAATCCTAGGCAATGATTATGCAAATGGGCATCACCGTGACAGTGAAAGGTTGACTCCAAACATCAACAGAGCATGATGGATAAACCACTGGGCACTGGCGAGTGGTGGTTGATAAGGGGACTAGTGGGGTCAGATGATCCGGCCACTATAGCTGGTACTGGTCTTCCAGCTCGATTTTCACCGGTTACCCCCATTCCTCTATAGCAACCAGTTGACCTCAACAGGCTCTACGTGAAGAGGAATTTAGGAGGATTACAGTGGCCTCCGGATAAACAGTGGCGGAGCCAATGTCGGCATCGGGCTGGGATATCGTATGATATTTACTGGAGGGACGATACCTGGTTCTGGGAATGGTCGAGAGTTTGAGCGCTTGTGGGATCTGGTCGGAGCTGGGGTGTTGAAAGCGTTTGCTGCTTGCTTGTTGGGTCTGGTTTGTAATAGCCCTTGATTATTTGCTCAGTTCGGGGTCATCATGTCAACAATACCTTCTGGATAGATCGGATGCACCTCAGTCATCGCTCAGTAAGACCGGTTCTTTATACCTCGGGCATCGAGTCGATTCTACTCTTATTGAGGCTTCTCGGCCGAGATTGTCTGAAAATGGAGTTCACTGCATTCACAGAGTGTTGCTGCTGAGGTTATCATGATCGATTTGGTCTTAGAGTAGCTGGCATTCAACACGGATAATGTTATATGGAATCTCAAGTCTAGATGATTAAAAGTAGGACGAATTGACCCACTGCCTGAAAAAGAGAACCTCTTTAAGTGTGGGATGTTTCCCATAATTCAGTCCCCTCGAATTCACACAATTCGCTCGGGTGAACGCGCATAATGATTGCACCCATACCTCCTGATCTATCCACCTCTGCACTTCCTCCACTGGCAAAAACCCACACCACACCAATATCAAAGATCAGACGGCAAAGCCCGTCCCGGCCTCAGCCTTGGCACCCGTGGCGCAATTAAGCAAAAGCTCAAGCACAGGAAAACGTCTTGGTTTTGACTCAAGCAGCCAAGAAATCCACTCACAGTCGGTAATTAATGGCACCCCCCCGGTAGGACAGCCTCAACGATGTGGACTGTGATATTGAACTGAGTTCCAGTTGGCACTCTCCGCCCCGTAAGCAAGTAGACGAAAGCTCCAACCATATCGCGAGCCCCACTTACTTTCTGACAGGGGTGCAGGGTAAGCGCTTAGTGCTTATTTCAGCTGAGCTGTTCGTTGTTGATCCCACCAACAGCCCTTTGGGGATTGCTGCCAATTAGACAGCGGTAAGATTTTAAGGCTATGGAGCTGTCTGACATTGCTTGCGTATTATACAGTCTTCTTGCGGGTGGACTGAAAAGGGCTTTGGCGTCTAACTTAGTTGTTGGCCTCAACCGGACCTGAATTCGGTATACTCTCGCTGTTGTGCGCTACCGAGGTATTCTTACTCAGCCCTAATAGTTATAGTTAACAGCAAAGAGCTTATACCTTTTAAGGGTTAGTGGTGGGCCTTGGGCATGGATGTACTAGCACGCAGATAGCTCTATAAAAGCAGCGAAATACTCTGCTGCAGTGGTGAAGTAACGATCTTCACTCCCAGCCATCCCATCAAGTGCAAGCACATCATTGCAGCTTCCAGAGATGATTGAAACTACTTCTTCCACGCTTCCTCCGACTACAGGAAAGAATACTGCTTCCCCCAGCCTTCCAGATATCTCTCCATCCGAGATGCAAAAGATCCAGCAACGGTACGCCGAAGAGCGCGACAAGCGTCAGCGTCCCGAGGGCCTATCACAGTACATCAGCCTGGCCTCAGCCGAGGACCCTCAATTGAAACGTCTCCTACATGATCCGTGGGACGGTGGGACCTCTCCCTCTGTGTCCCTGGAGGAAGGGGCCCGCTTCAAGGTCGTCATCCTGGGCGCCGGGTTCGGCGGGCTCCTGTTCGCCGTCCGACTCCTCCAAACCGGCTGCTTGCGCCAGGAGGAGATTGTCCTCGTCGACGTGGCGGCGGGCTTCGGGGGGACGTGGTACTGGAACCGGTATCCGGGACTGATGTGTGATATCGAAAGCTACATCTATTTGCCCTTGCTCGAGGAGACGGGATACATTCCCAAGCGGAAGTACGCTTCCGGGGAGGAGATTCGCGAACATGCGCAGCGCATCGCCGCGCACTGGTCGCTGGAGGACCGCGCCATGTGGCGAACGCAGGTGAACCAGTGTTCTTGGAGTGATGAAGCGGCTGAATGGTCGCTCGACATGACTCAATTTCCGCCTCCCTTGGATAATGATGGAACCAAAGGCGAATCCTTTTCAGCGACCGTCCATGCGGACTTTGTGATTCTCGCACCTGGGCCACTGAATCTACCCAAGGTGTCTGATTTCGCTGGTTTCGATTCCTTCCAGGGCTCCCGTTTTCTGGCATCCCGGTGGGATTACGACGTTACTGGGGGTAGCCCCGAGACCCCTGTCTTAAGTAGATTGGGGGGCAAACGAGTTGGGATCATCGGGACCGGGGCAACTGGCATCCAGATTGTCCCTGAATTAGCCAAATGGTGTCAACAGTTATATGTCTTCCAGCGGACGCCCGCGCAAGTCGGTGTGCGAGACCAACGCTCCACAGACCTAGACGAGTGGACCAAGAACGTCGCCACGGGACCTGGTTGGCAAATGGCGCGGTTCCGCAACTTCGTCTCCTTTACGTGTGACACGCAGCCTCCGCCCCCCATCGACTTGGTGGCAGATGGATGGACTAGCTTTCGTTCTTTGCAGGTCCTCGGAGGCGGAGGCAGTCCGCCCAGCATGGAGGAGATCCCCGCTCATATTACCAAGATGCACGCTTTTGACCTACCTCGAGCGGAGCGCATCCGGGCCCGCGTCGACGAGATAATTCATGATCGGACGGTAGCCGAACAGCTGAAAGCGTGGTATCCCAGCTGGTGCAAACGGCCCTGCTTCCACGACGAGTATCTGCCGACCTTCAATCAGCCGCATGTGCGACTGGTCGATACCAACGGCAAAGGGGTGCAAGCCATCACACCCACCGGAGTGGTAGCCAACGGTGAGCAGTTCGATGTGGACGTCCTGATTCTCGCCATGGGATACGACGTGAAACCGCTCGAAAGCCCTGGGGCGCGAGCGAAGGTCTCGGTGTTTGGACGTGCGGGTCGCAGTATGGATGAGAAATGGGTGCAGAGCCCCATGACTCTACACGGCGTCGCCACCAGTGGCTTCCCCAACATGTTCTTCTCGGGTGTTGGCCAGACAAGCTATTTCCCTTCATACACAGCGACGCTGGATACATGCGCCAAGCATGTGGCCTTCGTCATTTCCGAAGTTATCAAGCGGCAGGGTAGCGGCAAGATGACTATCCAAGTTACTCAGGATGCAGAGACAGCTTGGGGGCTGCGAGTCCAGGCCGGTGCTCCGGCCCTGGCAGCCTTGGCGGGTTGCACCCCGTCGTACTTGAACGCCGAAGGCAGCCTAGAAGACGTGTCGATGGAGGAAAGAATGAAGTTGGCGGCTTCTGCACGGTGGCCACACGGGATGGCCGATTGGATGGATGTTTTGGAGGAGTGGCGGGATGCTGGTGACTTGGCTGGGCTTCAGATCAGTGTCGTATAGAGACGGTGTCTGCGGTAGGAAATTGAAAACAAGAAGTTCATGGCAATGTCTCAGTGGGTAGATATTGGGGAGGAGCACAGTCAAAATGTCGATCCGTCCCTCACCCTGTAGCCTTAGATATGAGCGTTAGCACTAACCCAACTTACTCCAAAGTGGCATCCTTGTAGTGGCAAGCGCGGTCTGGAGATTCCAGTTTCAACCTTTAGAAAAGGTACCAAGTCCTCTGTTTCATGCTCCAGCTTTTCCATTTTCAGATTGACCTCTCAGTTGGTCCTTAATTACCTCCCACTGTACTTCATCATTGGTACGTTTCTGATGTACTGTACCACTTCTCAGGCACGATCTCGTCCTTCTCCCTTGAAGTTGTGGTAAGTCTGCTCTCCGTTTTCGATTTTCTTTCCGCCAGCGTGCCCTACTCATCATCAAACTTCTGGCGTGTTCGCGACGAGGCCTCGTGGTAAGAGGTTGGAAGAACTGTCCAGATATTTGTGCTAGCGTCATTGCTGTGTGTCTTCGTGGCGATGTTGGAGATAACTGGAGAGGGGCTTGCGCGGGGCGCATGATGGAGCAAGAGGAATGATTGGCGGTGATCTTGTTGATCAGGGTGATCGTCGTAGTGTTGTTACAGTCGCGACGGGGTGGAGAAGAAGTATACTAGGTCCTTGGACTTTTGAGAATCGACTGGATACAAAGTTTTGGTGCATGGTGGAAGGACTATGAGGAGGTGCGTTGATGTTGCGCTAGTTTACATTATACACAACAGAAGCAAACACAACAAAAAATGATGGACAATAGGGAAGATTCCATACTAGGTACAAAGATCACACCACCCGTTTCTGAGATGATACAGGAACCCAAAACAGGACCACATCAACCTTATATTATTATATACACATGTCTATCTTTGTTGAGTCATTTACTACAAGTCAGCTAGGGGGTGAGTTGACGTAATGCAGCATTACAGGTGTCTGTCTGGGGTACAGCTGCCAAGAGGATCTGTGGCATGTTACACCAACAAGCTGACAAGCATGGCTGTCGGGTGGAGGGACACGTGCCGTTTCCAGATGTCCAATGACATCTTGCCTTCCCTCCTTCTCCAAAGACATACCCACAACACTAGTCTCCTAGTGGTGCTACTATGAAAGGACTGACCATCTCTCTCCACTGGGCAAACACCTTGTGGGCTTGTAGTGTGTGTCTGACCGCTGCTTGGGGGGGGGTGTTGGTCCCGGGTTTGTGACTCCCCAAACAGGCTTAGGCAGTCAGATGACGATCAGCGCGATGGGTCCCGAGTCCATCGCTTTCTCCTTTCGCTTCTTCTCCCCGCCTCCATTCTTTTGACGGCCTGGTCTGTGTCTGTCACTACCTATGCATTTACTTCCCCTCCCCCCTCCTTTTCCTTTCAGCCTCTTATTTTAGTCTTTCTTTACTTTCAGCTGTATCATATCTTTGCTTTGTGTATAGTTTCATCCTCTCCGACGCTCTGTTGCTACTCTTTCCACTAGACATAACAATCGACCGCTCGGTTGCACTCACTTCCTTATCTCCGTGTCTCACCGCCGTCGACCGCTTCTTCTTGTTTGCATCCAAACACAGTCGAACTTTCGTCCGTGTCTCCACTCTGCAGTTGCCCGGCGTTGATGCGCGGATGGATATGTCCGTTATCGCAAAATGTTTGTTACCTTGAATTTCTCCTATCTACCCCTCCATCTGCCCCCCTGCCCTGCATTTTGGGTTCTCAGGAGTCGGGGTTAACTTCTACTTCTCAGACAGCCATCAGTAGGTCGGAAGCAGCCCTTGCTTCACCTCGCATCGCCGAAAATGCCTCGTTCTGTCCCTCAAAGGTTTCCCTCGGCTCCTTCAGACATCGAGCATGTCTCGATCGAAACCGATGGCCGAAGAACCAGCGCTCAAACGGCTCCTCCCTCGCCGTCCGCCTTTCGGCGCAGTCACAGCCACCTGTCCGAAGCCCACACCGGTTATGAAACGCTGGAATCGCCTATGGAAGTAGGAGAGACGACCAGCTTGTTAGGCAAAGGGCACGAACACCGGCGCAATTTCCCGAGATCCTACACCAACATTTCTGGCAACTCGGGCCCCGATCTAAACTTCAGACATAGCTTGTTGGCGGGCAGCCTCCGGCGATCACGCCATCACAGCCGCGCTAATTCGCAAGCGATGCGTTTCAGCCGTCGCGACAGTGACCCCGCCGCGAGTGTCGCTCCCTCAGGCAAGGACGACATGACTGCCTCGTTCCTGGATGAACGGAGCTGGTACGATCAATTCACCTCGACTGATTGGGTCCATGATAGCATCGCGGACGGCGCTCGCCTACGAGAGTTACGGAGGCGGAAAGACATCCGGGGTCGCCTACTAGCATGGTTCGATGGCAGTCAGGGCTGGGTGCTGGTAGCGTTGATCGGCTGCATAACCGCGGCTATTGCCTTTTCCGTCGACGTGACGGAGAAATTTGTTTTCGATGTGAAGGAGGGTTTCTGCACCACACACTGGTTCCATAGCCGCCAAAGCTGCTGCACGGGAGGGCAAGAATGCCCCGCGTGGAGATCTTGGTCAAACATTTTGAGCCCATCGGGTAGCGATAATCAGTGGGTCGATTACGGCATGTTCATTTTCTGGGTGATCTTACTCTCCATGATCTCTTGTGCGCTCACCTTACTCACAAAGACGGTGGTGCCATCATCCATCTCGTTGACGACTCTGGACGAAAACCTCGGAGCTGCGTCCTCGCGCGGTACAAAAGGGAAGACCGGAAATGCCAGCTCGCATGACTCGCCCAATGGTCTACAAGCACCGGGTGCTGTTATCCCTACCCGGCCTGCCATGACATACTACTCGGCGGCAGGGAGTGGAGTGGCCGAGGTCAAGGTCATCAACAGCGGTTTTGTCTTGCACGGGTATCTAGGCTTCAAGACTCTCGTCGTCAAGACTGTCGCTCTGGTCTTTAGTGTCGCGTCAGGCTTGAGCTTGGGTAAGGAGGGTCCATATGTACACATCGCGACCTGCGTAGGAAACATTTGCTGTCGCTTGTTTGCGAAATACAACCTGAACGACGGCAAGAGGCGTGAGGTCTTGAGTGCCAGCGCTGCCAGCGGTGTTGCGGTAGCTTTCGGTGCGCCTATCGGTGGTGTGCTTTTTAGCCTCGAGGAAGTCAGCTATTATTTCCCTCCGAAGACACTCTTCAGGACGTTCTTCTGCTGCATTGCAGCAGCCTTGTCTCTCAAATTCCTCAATCCCTACGGTACCGGCAAGATCGTCTTGTTTCAGGTTCGCTATCTTGGGGATTGGGAAATGTTCGAGATGGTCATATTCATCCTCTTGGGTGTCCTTGGAGGCGCAGCCGGGGCTCTGTTCATCAAAGCGTCGAGCGTCTGGGCGCGGTCGTTCCGACGCATTCCGATTATCAAGCGCTATCCCATGCTTGAGGTTGTTCTCGTGGCTTTAGTGACCGGACTTGTTGGGTTCTGGAATCGGTACACCAAGCTGCCTGTTTCCGAGCTGATGTTTGAGTTGGCCAGCCCGTGCGAGCATGTGTCATCATCACCCACGGGCTTGTGTCCCAGCGAAGACCGCATTGGCGATATTATTCGCTATCTGCTGGTCGCTCTCGTCATCAAGAGTCTGCTTACCATTGTCACATTTGGCATTAAAGTGCCCGCTGGAATTTACGTTCCATCCATGGTTGTTGGTGGTCTCATGGGCCGCATCGTTGGCCATGTGGCACAATACTTGGTGCTCAAATATCCAAACTCGTTCCTCTTCGGGTCTTCTTGCCCGGCTGTCGCTGGTATGGAGTCCTGCGTGACACCGGGGGTTTATGCCATGGTTGCCGCCGGTGCTACCATGTGTGGTGTCACACGCCTGTCGGTGACACTTGCCGTCATATTGTTCGAACTGACCGGTAGTTTGGACCACGTGCTCCCATTTTCACTGGCAGTTCTCTGTGCCAAGTGGACAGCAGATGCAATCGAACCCCGCAGTATCTACGTGAGTATCTGGCACCCTTCAATCATGGTCATTGTACTAACGTACGCAGGACCTGCTGACGGACATGAACGCGTATCCGTTCCTCGACAATAAACTCCAGCCCTTGTCAGATGGACAACTTGGCGATCTCGTCCGACCCCTGCGGGCCAGCCGGATTATCGACATTTCTGAGTCCTCCTTTGTGCCCGCGACGGAGCTGCGGTCGAAACTACAGAATCTGCTTATGGCCGGTGAGCTCGACAGTGGCTTGCCGATTCTGCGTCACAACATTCTGACTGGGTTGATCCCTGCGCCCGACCTTGAATACGCTCTCGACAATCTTGAGGATGAGGAGAACACCCTGTGTCTGATGACGATGGATGTGTCCTCGGCTATTTCCGACAGTGAGGATCTGGAAAACACCGACTGGGTGGACTTTACTCAATACATTGATTTTGTAAGTCAGGTGATCTCTCTGCATGACACAAAGCTAATCCTTTTAGTCCCCGATGGCCCTGGACATCCATTCCCCGATTGATCTTGTGTATCAATGCTTTGCGAAGCTGGGCCTGCGGTATCTGTGTGTTCTCCACGATGGACACTACGCCGGCCTGGTACATAAGAAAGCGTTTGTGAAGTATATGAAGCAGAACGAGTAGTTTGCTTTTCGGTGGATACGTTTTATGAATTGGTTTTGCGCGGTTATCTAGATTTGTTGCTGTAAATTAGCTCGGAGTTGGTTCAGCGTTTGTTTCTGTTGCATATGATCCTGTATTTAGAGCCTGGCTCCAGAATGGCGCCGTACATACCTTGCATACAGACTGTACATTGTCGCTTGCACTACCTCCACATTCCCTTCCCCTTCTCCCGGATAGAAACCGATCACGATCAATCCACCCGCTCATACCCCACCATCCTCACCCTCACCTCCCCCTCCACAATCCACTCATCGGTGACCGTCTCCCCCACCCACTCCGACACCTCCCTTGCACTCACCCTCCTCCACCCCCTCTCCTGGAGTAACTCCTCATCCACCGGGAAAAACGTATCGCACTCAAACACCCGCCCGCGATCCTCCTGGAACGCCAGCTTCTCCACAAACGTCATCACAATCCGCACCCCGCGCGTCTTGACCCGCAACGCCGCACCATAGATCTCCGCCCCGCCAATCACAAACACCTGCCCCAGTTTCCCCTCCGCGCCGTACCTCGCCTCGAGCGTGGTGAGTGATTCCTCCAGCCCCGCGCACACGATCGCGTCGGTTTGCGGCCCTGGCGCTTGCCCCTGGCCCTGGTCCTGGCCCTGGCCCTGCCCCTGCCCAGCCGCGCGCATTTTCTCCTCCTCCTTGCGCCGTTTCCCGTCGAGGTCGTGCTGCACGCGCCGCGCGATCTCCTCGACGGACCGCGTGATCACGGCGTTGATGCGTTTGCCGAGCGGGCGCAGCGAGGCCGGGATCGAGTCGTAGGTCTTGCGGCCCATCAGGATGGCGTTTGTGCTGCCGGTGGGGGAGGGGGCGGGCGGGCGCGAGGTGATGCGCGCGAAGAAGGACATGTCGGCTTTGATGCGCGGCCAGGGGAGGGTGCCGTTTTGGCCAATGCCGAGGCGGACGGGGGCATGTTGGTGGCCTGTTGTTGGGGTGGAGGGGATTGGGGTGGTGGCGACTATGAGGGTTAGGGGGGGTGGTTTGGGGGGCATTTTGGGTGGGTTGTTGGGTGGGTGGTTGTTGGTGGTGGTGAGGGTGAGGGTGAGGGTGAGGGTGGTTGCGTGGAGGTTATGGATGGATGGGTCGGTGTGGAGGAGGGAAATTTGGTTATGGTTGGGTTGGGTTGGCGGAGGTGGTGGTTATCGATAAGATTAGCGTAGCTTACTAGGTAGCTTTGCCGCACTGCAGCTTGGTTAGTATAGTGCTGCTGAGTGGTTTGTTTGCCTTCTCTTTTGGAAATTCGTTTAATTCATGCCAGCGCATCGCTTGCTTGGTCTATGCATTGTAGACTATCGGCAAGCATAGACACCACAAGTAATCATGTGTACTGCATAGTACAGTACTATTTCCGCAAGGTTCGAATAACCAGATTCGCAATACCCCAAACCGTAACGCCGAATATCCCACCCCGAAACCCAAACTCCCAATGCACCAGACCATACCATACTCCACTCCCAAAGAACCTATTTAGCAGCCTTCAAAAGCCCCCCCTCCTCAATCGCCCGCTGAATCGCCCCCGCATCCCGCTCCAACTCCTCCCGCCGCTTCACCTCCGCCTCATCCTCCCCCAACGTATCCAGCTTCCCGAACAGCCACGTCTCCTTCATCACCCGCGTAAGCGCCAGAATGTCTTCTGCTGCGCGGACCTGCTCCCATAGCATATCAAAATCAGCGCGATTCTTGAGGAAGTCAGGGTCAACGAACCAGGGCGGTGGACTCGACGTCGAGTTGGTAGGTTTCGACGGCTGTGGAGGTGTGGCTTGTGCTTTCTGTCTGCAACTTCAAGTTAGGATCAGGTTTCGAGGGGTAAGAGTGGTAGGCAATGGGCGTCTCGTACCGTGGCTGTGGCCATGATGTTCTCGAAGCGTTGGAGGAGTTGGGAGATGTTCGTGTTGATGCGGTCTGGTTTTTGAGTGTTTTAGTGGCTGGTGCGGTGAGTGAGGTATGGCATACTGACTGTGCAAGGTTTTGGAGGAGGGTTGGGACTCCATTTTGGGAGATTGAGGGGGATTGAGGCGATTGAGTGATTGTATCAGGTTATGCAGATGGGGAGTGGGTGGGTTGGGTTGTGCTTGTGATCGTGATTGTTCTGGGCGGGGGTCTAGGCGGTCGGATACTGCCGGCTTTGGATTACGATAACGAAGCTAATCTTCGAGTGTGTCTGGTTGGAGTGATATAGGCAGTGGGTATTATGACTATGCTTTATCGCTATCTAGGTGGAGCATCTCCAGCGCATACGATCTCCCGAGTGTCCAAATGACGAGGTAAAAACCGGGATTCCATCGCCCTTCAGCTTGCGGAACTTCCGTAGGTGTTTGGCCCGTCCTGAGTGTTGTAACACCCCGATCGTTGTGGGTAGATTGTAATGTAGCACGATTGAGGAGCGAGGTTCAATCCCAGCAAGTATAGTGTGGTGTTCACCGAACGTATTTGCCCTGTGTCCATTAACATTCGCGTCCGAAAAGGATCCGGAAACCAAACCGACTTACCATGAACCGCTTGTGAAAGTCCGATCGCAACAAGTCCTGTATCATGTCAATGCCATCCCCTATATATAGCCAGCAAACTTACATTGACAAACTCCTTGCCCCGTTTATCCTCCGTGCCGCGCGCCTGGTTCTTGAAGACCACGTCGTCATCCCATCGTCGCTTCAGATTGAAGTCCTGGGGGTTGAGCAGGGGGTTTCCGCGCGCAATGTCGTATTCGCGCTTCTCTTCCTCTTCAGCCGCACGCTCGCGTTCCTACCATCATCAGCTTTTAGCTCTAGACCCAGACCGGAAGAAACTCACCTCTTTTTCCTTCTGCTCCAGCCTCTCCTTCTTGATCTTCTCCAGTTCGCGCATCAGCTCGGCAGCTTCATCCTCCTCGTCATCACTGAACCAGTCAGTCCTGCCTTTATGCTTTGCTCAATTAGCGAAGCGCCTCACCTATCTTCATCACTACTATCCTCCTCCGACCCATCCGAGTCCGCGTCGATGTCTCTCGTCTCTTCTAATATCCTTCGTCTTTTCGCTTCCATATCTTCTTCCTGCTCCCCTGTGTCTGCATCTCCGCCCGGCGAACCCCCCTCCAACTGGCGCTTGGGCGTCACGCTCTCGACCGTGGGCTCATCAAGGGGGGTTCCGTTCTTCTTGGCGAAATGGGCGGCCTCAGCCTGGAGGAGTTCGGCGCGGAGGTCGCGCTGGGTGGCTTCCGCTTCGGTGCCTTGGCCGAATTGACTGGCTAGCGTCAGTGCCTTTCTTCCCAATCATACAGGCTATCTCGCCATCCTACCGTGTCTTCAAGAGCTTGTGTGCGGGAAGCAGTCGCTGGTGGTAGGCCGGACCACGGAGGGCCTCTTTGCCTTGTGCCTAGTTTCCCATTAGTTCTTGCGCTTCTCCCCGTCGGAGCTGGTAAGCGGGTTTACGTACGGGGTCAAACGTAGGTCTGTGTGCTATTCCAAGAGTCAGCCAAACACCCTTCCCATGCAAAATCAGTCTTCTCACCTGTAGTCATATTGTGGTTGTGCGTAAATCCAGAGTCGCGAAAGAATTGCTGTCCGCGAAGAAGAAGAGTTGATGGCTCTGATAATAACCTCCGCCCGCGGCGATCAAACCACGGGAGCGGCAAAGCCCTCCGGCCTCAGGCGCACATCTCTCACCGCCCAAACTTCCACCACTCCCATTGGACCAAAGCCCACCCGCCCAGACGCTGCAATGACGATGACCGCCCGCCCGCGGCATGAAATTTAGAGTGGAGAGAGAAAACGAAAGTCTTCCCCCGGGCCGCTGGCGGCCAAGTCCGCCGCCCCTCCGCCTATTCTCCTCCTCTTTTCCTCCGCCGAAATTCCCAAATCATGAATAAAGAAGCACCGCTCTCGATCGCGGAGCGCGACTTCATCCTCAATGCGCTGCGCGAGGATGTACGGCTGGACGGTCGCGCCGCGGATGAGTTGCGTCCGTTGAAGGTGACCTTCGGGGAGGAGTACGGGCATGTGAAGGTACAGCTTGGTCGGACGAGGTAAGCATCTTCTCTTGGTGGTTACAAAACAACAGCGCGAAGCTAAACGTTCTTGTATTTGTGTGTGTTAGTCTAGTGACACGCATCTCAGCCGAAGTGACGAAACCGCACGACGACCGGCCGTTCGATGGGCTTTTCACGATCGCGATGGAGCTTACGGCGATGGGGTCGCCCGCCTGGGATAATGGACGGTAGGACTTACCTTTCGACCCCCAAGCAGAGGGACACGGGATAAAGGGCAGCTGCAGCTTCTAATCACCGGGGGAAAAACAGACAAGGCGACCTCGAAACGTACGTGACCAACGTCCTGGACCGGGTGGTCCGCCACTCAAACGCGCTGGACACGGAATCGCTGTGCATCGTCAAGGGGGTGAGCTGCTGGAGCATCCGGGCGGACGTGCACATCACCGACTACGACGGCAACCTGATCGACGCGGCGTGCGCGGGCATCATGGCGGGGCTGCAGCACTTCCGGCGCCCGGACGCCGTGGTCAAGGACGGCCAGGTGATCGTCTACGGGGTGGACGAGCGGGTGCCCGTCGCGCTGAACATCACGCACAAGCCGCTCGCGGTGACCTTCCACTCCTTCGACGAGGGCAAGCGCGTGATCCTCGACGCCACCCGGCGCGAGGAGCAGGCCGCCGAGGCCGACGTCGTCTTCGGGCTCAACAACGCTGGCGACGTCTGCTTCATGTCCAAGTTCTCCGGCTCGCCGGTCGACGCCATGGTCTTCGTCAACAAGACCTCCGTCGCCCTGGACAAGGTCAAGGAGATCAATGCCGTCATCGACAAGGCGCTGCAGGCGGATCTGGCTAAGCGCGCGAAGACGGGCAGGGCCGAGGAGTCGCGGGCGGAGAATGATCGGTGATTTACCTTGAGGTCGGGGGTGGCTTTGGCGGGGTTTTACTAGGTTTTACTAGAGATGTCATGCATATTACCAGGAGTCTAATGGTTTTAAAAGACGAGCAATCAGATTTGATTTGGATGATGGTGTGTTTTTGTTTGTAAATTTGGAGAAGCTACCCAATGGCTTGCTATGTTTGTGGTGAGTGGTCTCCGAAATATATTTGCAGCTAAGCAGCAGCCACACCAGGCTGAATGCCACTCAACTTGGCGCTGGCAAAACCTCGAGACATCTTTCCAGCATTGCCTATTTGTAATTGCTGGCCTGTGGCTAGATCAGATGTCAGTCACTATCTGTTCCTGTGCTCTTAGCGTCCTATCGAGAAATGAAAGAATTCATTTTCAACCCGATGGTGGATAACTTTAGCCTACGGAGCTATGGTGAATCGGGTGGTGATATTCTCCGCCCAAGCCGCTTATCCTCAGGCCAGGCCCGCCACCAAGCAATCTCTCGGACATTTGCCGCAGCCCGTCGACCAAGCAGATTTGAGAACTCGCTTTTTTGGTAGACTACGATCTGACAGCCGGCAAGCCACACTTTAGTTCAACAATTAATGTTCTGTCTTAATTTGCTCAACAGGTCAAATTTTGTTCATGATGTCTCGATATGACTTTTCGGACGCTGGCTCACGATGGGAGGAAAGCCGATGTCTGCCAGATACTCACTGTTCGCTCGCTCGGACGCGACGTCCACATTCGTCGTGACTGTGATGTTCGCCTTCCCACCGGTCTGTCTCAGGAGCTCTTCTTCTGACCCCGTCAAGTTGCCACTCAGTAGCTCGTGGATCTGGAGGCTAGCGCGTGACAGGCGCAATTCGGCTTTCTTGGGGCCTGCTGCGTTCGAGTCCTGCTTGATGTAATCGGAAAGTCGGTGGGCGCCATTGGTTGAGTCGTCGCTTGAGCTGCCCACGAGCTTGGTGAAGAGGGTCTTCAACGCGGGAAGATTGACTGCCACGACTGCAATCTCGATCTCAATTGCCGCTACGATGATCATTCGGCCGAGCACGTACGCCGTGTCGGGGTCGGCGATGAGTTGTCTCTGCACTTCGAAGCGGCATAACGCCGTCACTACAGACAAGGCGCCGAAACACATGACCCCGAGCACGGCGACCTTGCGTTGGTTGCTCATCTGTAGCCGCATCACGGTCGGGATCGGTAGGGTAAGGATGATGATATCCGTGATGATGTTCTTGCCATGGTTTAAGACATGTTAGTGTATTTGTATCCTGCCAAGAGCTCTCGCCATCCCTACCAGTCCTGTTGGTACCATCATGACCACGTACGTGCTCAGACATTGCGCGTTGGAATACTCAGCAGGGTGGAATATGGCGCCGAGGGGTCTGCATTGTAGGAAGGCGAGTAGCCAGTTCGTGATCGTGAATAGGGTGTTGAGGACCATTGTGCTGAAGACTTTGATCTGGAATGATCGATCTGGGGAGAGTCGGAGGTAGAAGACTAGGAACGCTTGTTTGATGGTCCAGTGCACGAACATGTAAAAGACTTCTTCGACGAACAGCCACTGGATGCAAATGTGTTAGTCGAGAACGCGCCAGTAAGCGAGGTGTGTACCTTGGTTATTTGTTCCTGCTGATGCGAGGATAATTGACTCGAGTGCCTACCACGGAACCTGGTCAGCTCTCGTCCTGCTCATTGATTGTCTTTTCGTCTCTCACAGTCCACATCCATAATGAAGAAAGATGTACAGAATCATCTGCTGCATCCCGTTGACAAACTGTGAGGTGATCAATTGGATGGTCGCTTATCAAGAGCCACAATGAGAACTCCGTACCAGGAGAATGATAGCCACTGCATCATCCCTACCAAAACTCTGATGACGCAGCCGACAGTAAAGCCGTAGGAAGATGGAGCAAGTTCCGATCGCGAAAGCAGCAGAGATAATTCCGTAGGTCAATGGCTGGAGATTCTCGAGAGCCATTTTGCCCACCGCATAAGCCCAGGCAAAGAGCTCGCTCGTGCAGGCTCTTTTGCTCTGTCGAAAATGACCAGCGAGTCAAGCCGGCCGAGAGAATATATACTGGACAGGCTCGAAAGTCCATTGGGCCGATAATTAAGTGCTTGGAGGCAGCCTTGTCTTTCTTCACCCCCTCTTCTGATCCAGCCCATCCTGCTGTGTGCATCGATCCTGTTGATAGTCCAGCCATCCTTGCAAGCGCCATCGCTAGGAGGCCTTAGATGCAGATGAGATCCAGTGCGCTAAACTCTTTGCTTTCTCTCCTCCCGCCAATCCGCGAGTGTTGGCATCAGCATAAGCTCCACAGCGGACGGCTGCTCCCTTCCTAGTCTCCTATAGTGTCTCGCGATGTGGATCGGGGAATTCAGCCACCACTGAAGGGCCGCCGTGCGATCAAGCGAACACGAGTAGCAGAGATGAAAGGTGGAGATGACGGGCTTGTCCTGCATATTGTCCGCACGAGGACCGGAGTTTCACCATCGTGCACGATGGGTATTGGTTTCTGTCATAAGCGCCTCTCTTATCCCGGTTGTGCGATCGGCTGAGATGGCCGAGGTGGGGTATAGACAAGGGTTAATAAACTGACCAGCTGTCTGCTGCCAATAACAAATTCACAGTCGTCGACTATGGTGACGCCGTCGCTTTAGCATGCAATCTTGTATGATGCTGGAGGAGCTCCCGGCTCGAATGGATGATAAATAATCGTTCGCTGCCCCTTTTCTTCGAACAACTGTGGGCACACCGATGGGTGGTTGAGGAAATCGACAACGCACTCACAATGGAGGCAGCGAAATCGTTGCTTTGGTCCGCAGGCGTCAGTGACTTCCTCGGGAAGGACCTGCTCAGCCTGGGAAGTTCCGCTGCGGGACTCGCGATTGTCCTCCATCTCACTCTCTTTCGCACCAGTTTTCCCACGGAAGATCATCTTCATGACCTTCTGATACTCTACGTTGTTTCGGTATCTGCCGTGTTTGCTGCCTATCTTTCGTCAACTGATTATTCAGTGACCCAGAGTCTGGTCCGAGTATGCTGGATTGCAGGCGCTTTCAACACAGGACTAGTGTTGAGCATCGGGGTTTATCGGTTGTTCTTTCATCGTCTTCGTCACTTTCCAGGCCCGATAGGGTCCAAGGTATCTCGGTTCTATGATGCGTATCTTGCCGGACGGAATGTGCAATACAATGTGGAAATTGAGAAACTCCACAAACAGTACGGTGACTTCATCAGGACAGGTATGCCATGTCGCCACTCCCAGGTGCTCACCACCAGTACTGAACATGCTCCAACCATAGGTCCTCGAGAGATCTGCATCGTCCGGAGATCAGCTTTACCGGTCCTCTTCGGGCCTCAGTCAAAGTGTCGCAAGTCAACCTACTACGCGCAGGCCTCTACCAACCCGATAGAATGCTCCGTCCACCACACACGAGATTTCGAAGATCATCGGAAACGACGGAAGGCATGGGATCGAGGATTCAGTATCAAATGTGCGCTCTCTACTCAAAGCCATTTCTTGGAAGATGCCGGCGGAAATTGACCAGGCATATCTAGCACTCGGAGTGTACGAACCACGGATCAAGGCGAAGGCCGATCAACTTGCCGCTCATATCGCAGCCAACCTGGGAAATCCAATTGATGCCACCGCCTGGTCAATGTTTCTCAGTTTTGATGTGATGGGAGATGTGGGCTTTGGAAAAAACTTTGGAAACTTGACAACAGGTGTTGAGCATCCGGCTATCAAAGGAATTCACGACCACATGGCCATTCTGGGGGTTCTTGGCCATGTTCCTTGGTTTCTGAATCTCGTTAGCCGTGTTCCGGGAGCGACTGCAGCCTATTCAGGTTTCTTTAAGTGGTGTGGTGATGAAATAGAAAGGAAGCAAAAGGTGCGTCTTACTTCGTTTGTGTTCGGCGTTTGGCTGAGGCATTAATGCGGTGTGCAGATCTGGGACGCTGGAAAGTATCCTGACGATATTGTCTCATGGCTGCTGAAAGCCTACGTGGACAACGACGCAGCAGCCTCTCCTTCAGAAGCTGCTTTGCACGAAGACTCTCGGGTGGTTATTATCGCTGGCAGTGAAACCACAGCGACTACCTTAGCTACTGTTCTTTTCTACCTAGCTAAGGATCAGTATGTTCTTGCCAAGCTTCAGCGACTCTTAGATGAGGCTATGCCTGGTGGGGTCGAGGACTGGTCCTACGACAAGGTGAAGACAGTCTCTTTTCTTGACGACATCATCAATGAAGCTCTCCGTCTCCGGCCAGCCGTGATGACAGGTGGATACCGGGTAACCCCTGCGGAAGGCCTCCAGATCGATGAGGTGTACATTCCCGGGTATGTCAACGTGTTTGTTCCGGTTCAGTTGATCCAAACAGATGAGAGATATTACAAACAAGCCAAAAGCTTCATTCCCGAGAGATGGGGTGAAAGAAAAGGCGAGCTGGGCACCGATGGGGTGCCTTTCATTCCATTTGCAATGGGTAAGTACTTTACCGCAACTTTTCCGCGGCGTCGGATTGATTCACAATTCAAGTGATTGGGTAAGTTCCATCGCTAACTTGCGTCACCAGGCCCATATAGTTGTCCCGGAAAGAATCTCGCTCTGCTCAGCCTCCGCATCACGGTGTCTGTATTGGCTTTACAATATTCTATAAGCTTCGCGCCGGGTGAGACAGGTGAAGACTTTGAGCACAACGCGTTGGACACGTTTACAACGACGTTACCTCCTCTTCGGCTTCAGTTTTTCAAACGGCAGGGTTTGCCAGGATGCTAGCCCTAGTGCCAGAGTTGCCAAATGCTATCTCGTTCAAACTGTTCTAGATGCCATGGTCCAGGAAACCAAAATCGAGAGCCTAATGGCCGATGCGCCAAAAAGCCACGCTCGGCACCTTGTCTACAGATACAGATGAAGATTCGATACATTCTACGAGATGTTGTATAGGGTGTTGTTTGCCTGTTCCACTGAGTTGTAACTTGGGAAAACCCGCTAGACATATCCATAAAAGACAAAGAAGATCATAAACATTTCCAGCCCTCTACGTATCTCATCGCTTATTGCATACGTGGCATTACACGATGCTTGCAGGCTGTTGAATATATAGCAGTTGTAATTCCATGTTCAGGATGAATTAGAAGTTTCAAATCAGTTGCAAATCAGTCCCCGGTCTCATTGCCCTACTTTACCTATTCATATTTCTGTTGATGAACAACAATGGCAACTTCGCAATCTATAACCTGGGCGCGTCAGTATGAATACCACTACCAGGAAATGAAGAACTCCACGAACCAGGTTGCAACTTGGTTGAAAAGAAATTACGAAGAGAACCACAGAAGACTTCCACAGAGGAACCCGGAATATCCTCTCGATGTGGGCCAATACATACATTGCGCAACCTTTCTCAGAGACTTGCGAAGCCCCGGTATCGAATTTCCTCAGGAGTTCACGGCTTACCTTCACTATGCTATTTGGGCACGTCTACACAGGGTTGAGATCGAATACCCACAGAGGCACAATTGGAACAAAAGGCAGAAACGCAAGTTCAAAAGCCATGTTCACTTCCTCCTAGTATTGATGAAGGTCCATGACATTCTGTTGCAGCGATCGAACCAAGACCCTCTCCGATACTGCAGAGACTGTGCCGATCATGGGCCCAGGCAGCTTGCAAGTGCGAACTTCCCATGGAGACCGACTGGGCGGTTCCATCTGAGATTGACGGTTTCCGTTTCCGTGGCAAGAGGTTTGGCTGCTAGGTTTTTCCGGGCCAGGCAGAGCTAAGATGATTGTTTTACTTTGATTTTTGATGGGTAATTGAGGTTTGATCAAATTGTTGCTTGGTTTATCCATGCTTGCATGTTTTGGTTTTGATGTTAACATAGTTTGGGATTGAAATGATATTGTGGTTAACGTCTTAGTATCTGCTTCTAAGCTGTTGCTGCTATTTTGTTGATTGTTGATTGTTGATTGTAGAAAGCCGTGACGGCAGTTGACGATCGGTCAGGCGGCGCTAACCCAAAGCGGACGCAGGTGTTCATCCCTCCCTTTCTCCAATCCATCATCCACTTTCAACCACGCGGTAGTTAGTGGAAATGAGTTGACTCTGCCAAATCGTCTTCCCACTCTGAAACACCATAACTTATCCTCTCCCCCCCCCTCATGGCTTATAATTAGCACGTCTCCCAGTCAACAATTTAATTTACTCACCGTCTCGACCCGGAGAGCCCCGCTCCATCTCCCGGCCCCAGCCACGGGCGGTGATCCAACGCTAATTGCGCGGCATCTGAGCTAAACCGCCAGGCAGTCAGAATTTCTCCCCATCTGCGTTACTTCTCTCCCTCCCCGCCGCTTACTGTCACCCGGACTCAATTCCCGACCACCTCCTCCCTAATTCTACGTGTCTTCGCCATCCTCCACTACTCCCAGCGCGCGACTTTCACCCCTTCCCTCCCCCGTCAATCAATGCTCTTGGGGCACCACCTCGCAGTAACGGTGTCTGCCCGCCCTCAGCGTCATGGCCAGCGGTAGGCCTCCCGGACCTCATCCAGCCGCTGGCCACAACGAGGAACTGCTGCTGGATGAGTCCACTCCCATGTACAACACGGGTCAACGTCCGCCTGTGAACGATGACAACCTGTTGCGACAGTACGATATCGACGACTCCGACCAACCCCAACCCCGTCCCTCCGTTTCCTACGATAGCTTCGTCGGCGGACAGGCTCCGCCGCATTCAGGCGCCCATGCGACTTCCTCTGCGCACCCTCCGGCGCAAACCGGGGGCTACCTCACCGATCCTTACACCGGAGCCGATATGTCTCGCACCTATTCCCATACCTCCGGCCTGAGCAACTACAACCGCTACTCCCTTGACGAATACGACGACGACCGGTCGCTGCACGGATACTACGATCTGGATGATGACGACGTACACCACTCGCAGCCCGATAGCCGGGTTCGTCAGGCGAAGGAGCGGAACAGCATCCTGGGTCTGGGGGGTGGCCTGATGGGCCGAGCGAAGCACATGCTGGGCATGGGGCCCGAGTACTCGGAAATGGATCTGCCCTTGACGGAGTCGGGCGGTCGTGCGGCTCGGTTGGACAGTGCAGATCCGGATGAGGCGGCCGCGACCGGGGCTCGAAAGAAGTCGAAGAAGTCGGACTTCAAGTTTGGGTTCGGTCGCAGGAAGGTCGACCCGTCGACTCTGGGACCCCGAATGATCGTTTTGAACAATCCGCCCGCGAACGCCGTGCACAAATTCGTGGACAACCATGTCTCGACGGCCAAATACAACATTTTCACCTTCATCCCCAAGTTCCTGTTCGAGCAATTCTCGAAGTACGCCAACCTGTTCTTCCTGTTCACCGCCGTTCTTCAACAGATCCCGAATGTCACTCCCACGAATCGGTATACCACCATCGGTCCGCTGTTGATTGTGTTGTTGGTGTCGGCCATCAAAGAACTTGTGGAGGATTACAAGCGGAGGCTGTCCGATAAAGGGTTGAACTTTTCCAAGACACAGGTACTGAAAGGCTCGAGCTTCCACGAGACCAAGTGGATTGATGTCGCTGTTGGTGATATTGTTCGCGTGGAGTCTGAGCAGCCATTTCCCGCCGATATGGTCTTGCTTGCGTCGTCGGAGCCTGAGGGTCTATGCTATATCGAGACGGCGAATCTGGACGGCGAAACCAACCTCAAGATCAAGCAAGCTATTCCGGAGACGGCGCATTTGGTTAGTCCCGCGGATCTCAGTCGGTTGACCGGGCGCGTTCGATCGGAACAGCCAAACAGCAGTCTTTACACGTACGAGGCCACATTGACTATGCACGCGGGAGGTGGTGAGAAGGAACTGCCACTGGCCCCGGATCAACTGCTCCTGCGAGGTGCGACCCTGCGCAACACCCCCTGGGTGCATGGAATCGTCGTTTTTACCGGCCACGAAACGAAGTTGATGCGAAACGCGACGGCAACCCCGATCAAGCGAACGGCTGTCGAGCGTATGGTTAACGTCCAGATTCTCATGCTGGTTGGCATCCTCGTGGCGCTGAGTGTGATCAGTTCCGTTGGTGATCTGGTCATTCGGCAAACAGAGGGCAGCCAACTCACATACCTCGACTACGGCAGTACCCATGCTGTCAAGCAGTTTGTTTTGGACATCTTCACCTACTGGGTCTTGTACTCGAACTTGGTTCCGATCTCGCTTTTCGTCACCATTGAGATTATCAAGTATGCACAGGCTTTCTTGATCAACGCGGATCTCGACATTTACTACGACAAGACTGATACTCCTGCAACCTGCCGGACGTCATCGTTGGTCGAAGAGTTGGGACAGATCGAGTATATCTTTTCCGACAAGACAGGAACCCTGACGTGTAACATGATGGAGTTCAAGCAATGCACTATTGCCGGTGTGCAATACGGAGAGGATGTTCCAGAGGACCGCCGCGCTACTGTTGAAGACGGTGTCGAAGTGGGCGTTCATGACTTCAAGAAGCTCAGGGAGAATCTCCGCTCCCACCCTTCGTCAGATGTGATTCACCACTTCCTCACTTTGCTTGCGACTTGTCATACCGTCATTCCGGAAAGATCTGAGAAGGAGCCGGGCAAGATCAAGTATCAGGCGGCGTCTCCGGATGAAGGTGCCCTGGTCGAGGGTGCTGCAATGCTTGGCTATCGATTTTCCAACCGCAAGCCCAGATCCGTGATTTTCACGGTGGAGGGTCAGGACTACGAGTATGAGTTGCTGGCCGTCTGCGAGTTCAACTCTACGAGAAAGCGTATGTCGACTATTTTCCGCTGTCCAGACGGCAAGGTCCGTATCTATACCAAGGGTGCGGATACTGTCATTCTCGAGCGGCTGCACCCTGATAACCCGACCGTTGAGGCGACGCTGCAACACCTGGAGGAATATGCGTCGGAGGGTCTACGTACGCTTTGTTTGGCGATGCGTGAGATTCCTGAAGCGGAGTTCCAGCAGTGGTATCAGATCTATGACAAGGCCGCAACTACGGTCAGCGGAAACCGCGCGGATGAATTGGACAAGGCAGCCGAACTCATTGAGAAGGACTTTTACCTTCTCGGAGCCACGGCCATTGAGGATCGCCTGCAGGATGGAGTCCCGGATACTATCCACACCCTCCAGACGGCAGGCATCAAGATCTGGGTCTTGACTGGCGACAGACAGGAAACGGCTATCAACATCGGAATGTCGTGCAAGCTGATTTCGGAGGATATGACCCTGCTCATTGTCAACGAGGAAAGCGCCCAGGCTACCAAAGATAATTTGATGAAAAAGCTTCAAGCTGTTCAGAGCCAGGGTACTTCAGGCGAGACTGAAGCGATGGCATTGATTATTGATGGCCGGTCGTTGACCTTCGCTCTCGAGAAGGACATGGAGAAGTTGTTCTTGGACTTGGCGGTGTTGTGCAAGGCGGTTGTCTGCTGGTAGGTTTGCCATTATCTTTTGCTCTCACTTTTCTCTTGAGTTTGTACTAATTCAAGAAGTCGTGTGTCCCCCCTGCAGAAGGCCCTTGTGGTCAAGCTGGTCAAACGCCACCTCAAATCCTTGCTTCTGGCGATCGGTGACGGCGCCAACGACGTGTCCATGATTCAGGCCGCCCATGTTGGTGTTGGTATCAGCGGTGTCGAGGGTTTGCAGGCCGCACGGTCTGCAGACGTGTCGATTGCCCAGTTCCGCTATCTGCGAAAGCTCCTTCTGGTCCACGGGGCCTGGAATTACCACCGTATCAGTCGAGTGATCTTGTACTCGTTTTACAAGAATATCGCTCTCTGTATGACGCAGTTCTGGGTAAGTCATTCTTGCTAGGGAGTCGGCTTTTACTGACATGCATAGTACTCTTTCCAAAACGCTTTCTCTGGCGAGGTTATCTACGAGTCGTGGACGCTGTCGTACTACAACGTCTTCTTCACCGTGCTTCCCCCTTTCGCCATGGGCATTTGTGATCAGTTCATCTCTGCGCGATTGCTGGATCGCTATCCGCAGCTGTACCAGATGGGTCAGAAGAGTCTCTTCTTCCGCCGACACAGCTTCTGGTCCTGGATTGCCAACGGGTTCTACCATTCGTTGCTCCTGTACATCGTCGGACAGCTCTTCTTCATCTGGGACGGTGCCCAGGCCGACGGCAAAACCGCCGGTCACTGGGTCTGGGCCGAAGCTTTGTACACGGCTGCGCTGGCGACGGTGCTGGGCAAGGCGGCCCTGATCACGAACATCTGGACAAAATACACCTTCATCGCGATCCCCGGCTCGATGATCATCTGGCTGATCTTCCTGCCGGCCTACGGCTACGCGGCCCCGGCGATCGGCTTCTCGACCGAGTACTACGGCACGATCCCGGTGGTGTTCAAGTCGCCCACCTTCTACCTGCTGGTGGTGATCCTGCCCTGCATCTGCCTGCTCCGCGACTACGCGTGGAAGTACGCCAAGCGCATGTACTTCCCGCAGCACTACCACCACGTGCAGGAGATCCAGAAGTACAACGTGCAGGACTACCGGCCGCGGATGGAGCAGTTCCAGAAGGCGATCCGCAAGGTGCGGCAGGTGCAGCGCATGCGCAAGCAGCGCGGGTACGCGTTCAGCCAGGCGGACGAGGGCGGCCAGATGAGAGTTGTAAATGCTTACGATACCACGAGAGGAAGAGGACGCTACGGAGAAATGACCAGCTCGCGAGCTCTAGTGTAACGATTGTCTGTTTTGCTTTTGTGGCCTTTTGATTTTCCTTCTTTGTATGTCTAACTTTTGTCTCATATGGGGGGTGACGATGAAGCCTGATGTGGCTGTGTTTGTGTTTTGTTGCGTGTATTTACTCGGAGACGGCTCTATGAGACAATGTGAAATATGGTATGGTTTGACTCTCCCCTCCCCCTCCCCCTCCCCCTCCCCTTTGCTTTTAGCCTTCCAGTAACCTGACCCTA